ACACACACACACACACACACAAAGCATCTTATATGTGGTATGTCCACTACTGTGACTATTTATGACTACTGTGGTTTGGCTTGCTAAAAAAACAATAGTGAGAATAGCTGTGATTCATTCGGTCTCTGTTTAGTAATGGAGAGGACAGAATGTTTTCCTTCTGTGATCTAGAGAAGGACAAGAACAGTCTCTGTTTTTCAAGCTCGTTTAGAAGCGGCTCCCCTGGATTTCTCGCATTCTCCTGCCGCGGCTGTAGACAGAAGCAGTGCTGCTCCCTGCTGCCAAACAGAAGAACTGCACCCCACAAACACCCACAATCCACTAAAGAACTGGGTCAATTAGCTCTACTGGACCAGCAGGTACCATTAAATACTGAAAGTGTGTGACTTTGTGCATAAATAGCTAATAATGGCTTGGAGAAGGCCTCTACAACAAAAGAATACTACTAAAAATGTGTCCAACTCGGAAATAGAAACTATATATTGAATCCGTTGGTGTCAGAGTTGCACATAAATGGGACAATGAAGGGAAATACAGCCCTAAAAAGAGATTTCTGAGTAAAAAGGACACCAGCTGGGACTGTGGGACATAGAGAATCTGTATTTCACAGTCTAACACTGAGAAGCCACTCAAATGAAATGTGTATCTAATTATATTGATTTGTTATTTCCTGTTCAAGACTACATGAGCCAGTTAACATCTAAACGGCCTTACAAAAAGATTTAAAACTGAATAAAAAGTTAAATTTGTTTATGAGTGTACAAGTGTCTCAGGGTTTGTAGAGGAAGGATAAAGGAGAGTTTTTTCGGGATGTCTGTTAAGAAACAGCCGTGTGATTGATGACATTCTCTCATTTGCCCGATTGCGTATTCTAAATGAAATATAGGCCTTTTCCACAGACCTGCGGGCATTGATTTCCACTCAGCCCGTGTGCTGTGTGTCCTTGTGAGGAAGATTTTAATGCTTCTCAAGGTGCTTTCATATTCGCTCATATTTTATAATTAAATTAGCCTGCATCAGACTGCGCCAAAGTCCAGACCAAACGTCACTGTGTTTGTGTGCATATATGAGACAGAGACAAATAAGTTTGTCTGTGTGTCGGCAGGAAGGCTGAGTGTGTGTGTGTTTGTGCACGTATGGAAGTTTTGGCTGCTACAGTCATTTACAAAGTCAGAAGATGTCCTATGGTAATTTCTCCGCAAAATATATCTTTATAAATGTTCGAAGGATTCATACAAGTACATGCATCCCAAATGCCTAATTATACCCTATAAAACATTGCAAATTGCATTTTAGGAATAAAAAAAACAAAATTTTTTACTTTACTTAGGAACAATTTGTCTTTTTGATGACATTCCAAAAAGTAGGTTTTGTTAGATTTAGGCACCTCATTTATATTATAAAAAATCTAATTATTATTATATTTTATATTATATTTTATTAAATAAAATATCAAATTATTGTTATATATAAATGCACAATTCGGCAGCTTCGTCAATAAATGCCTGGTTAAAAGCAGCAGTCCTTTTAAAGCAGCAATATTCCCATTCTCATAATCCTTACATCACTGTTTTTTTCGTTAGCACTATAATACTTTTGTGCAATAAAAAGGCAGATTAGTTGACTAGTTGTTCAGTCAACCCACCAACTAACACTAAACACACACACACACACACACAAAGCATCTTATATGTGGTATGTCCACTACTGTGACTATTTATGACTACTGTGGTTTGGCTTGCTAAAAAAACAATAGTGAGAATAGCTGTGATTCATTCGGTCTCTGTTTAGTAATGGAGAGGACAGAATGTTTTCCTTCTGTGATCTAGAGAAGGACAAGAACAGTCTCTGTTTTTCAAGCTCGTTTAGAAGCGGCTCCCCTGGATTTCTCGCATTCTCCTGCCGCGGCTGTAGACAGAAGCAGTGCTGCTCCCTGCTGCCAAACAGAAGAACTGCACCCCACAAACACCCACAATCCACTAAAGAACTGGGTCAATTAGCTCTACTGGACCAGCAGGTACCATTAAATACTGAAAGTGTGTGACTTTGTGCATAAATAGCTAATAATGGCTTGGAGAAGGCCTCTACAACAAAAGAATACTACTAAAAATGTGTCCAACTCGGAAATAGAAACTATATATTGAATCCGTTGGTGTCAGAGTTGCACATAAATGGGACAATGAAGGGAAATACAGCCCTAAAAAGAGATTTCTGAGTAAAAAGGACACCAGCTGGGACTGTGGGACATAGAGAATCTGTATTTCACAGTCTAACACTGAGAAGCCACTCAAATGAAATGTGTATCTAATTATATTGATTTGTTATTTCCTGTTCAAGACTACATGAGCCAGTTAACATCTAAACGGCCTTACAAAAAGATTTAAAACTGAATAAAAATTTAAATTTGTTTATGAGTGTACAAGTGTCTCAGGGTTTGTAGAGGAAGGATAAAGGAGAGTTTTTTCGGGATGTCTGTTAAGAAACAGCCGTGTGATTGATGACATGCTCTCATTTGCCCGATTGTGTATTCTAAATGAAATATAGGCCTTTTCCACAGACCTGCAGGCATTGATTTCCACTCAGCCTGTGTGCTGTGTGTCCTTGTGAGGAAGATTTTAATGCTTCTCAAGGTGCTTTCATATTCGCTCATATTTTATAATTAAATTAGCCTGCATCAGACTGCGCCAAAGTCCAGACCAAACGTCACTGTGTTTGTGTGCATATATGAGACAGAGACAAATAAGTTTGTCTGTGTGTCGGCAGGAAGGCTGAGTGTGTGTGTGTTTGTGCACGTATGGAAGTTTTGGCTGCTACAGTCATTTACAAAGTCAGAAGATGTCCTATGGTAATTTCTCCGCAAAATATATCTTTATAAATGTTCGAAGGATTCATACAAGTACATGCATCCCAAATGCCTAATTATACCCTATAAAACATTGCAAATTGCATTTTAGGAATAAAAAAAAAACAATTTACTTTACTTAGGAACAATTTGTCTTTTTGATGACATTCCAAAAAGTAGGTTTTGTTAGATTTAGGCACCTTCTAGGGACACTTTTTTTTTAGCAACACCGACCCCAAAATTTACTAGATAAGACATAAACAGACCAATTCAAGTTCCTAAAGAGGATAAAAACCTATTAAAAAAATTTAATAAAAAAATGTCAAATGAAAACTGAAAATGTCCAAATTATTTCTAAGAAACAGGACATTTTCTTTTACCTGTGTATGTTCTCCTGACTGGATGGAATCACACCTAGGTTGGCGACAGACACCACCTTTCTGTTTACTGATTGGCTGGAGACGTTCTCTGGCGTCATGGTAATTGTTGCCGATGACTCGTTCATGCCCACCAGTTTACCTGAGCACAGAAATAAACATTAGCTTTAGACTCTTAATAATCTAGCCTCTACAGAGGTATTCAAGAAACGGTTAAAAATCAGCAATTTGCACAATTTGTGTTTGTCTCTTATTATTATTTTATGTACATTTTTCGGGGAGCTCAAGTTGGATTCAAACTTAGAAGAGCCATTGGTAAGTTTTGAGCATATACAGTATCTGTTGTATATAGCAGCAGGTGCTTGTTTATGAATTTGAAAGACGAAAAATGTTCAAAAGTGTGGGGTCTGTAAGATTTTTGAATGTTTTCAAAAGTCTTATGCTCAGCAAAAACATTATATTACTTATAGTGCATATTATTTACAGTATTTACTCCAGTCACACGATTCTTCAGAAATCATTCTAATATGCCGATTTGCTGCTCTAGAAACATCTATCATCAATGTTTTAAAAAGCTGCTTAATATTTTTGTGAAAATGTTTTTTAAATTTCAGAATTATTTGATGAAAACAAAGTTCAAAAGAACAGCATTTGAAATATTTTGTAACATTATAAATGTCTTTAATGTCACTTTTGATCAATGTAATGCATCCTTATTGAATAAATGTATTAATTTCTACTTAGCCCCAAACTTTTGAATGACAATATATATATACGGACTGTCATGCTAAAAATAATGACAAAAAAGTTAATAAAACTACTTACTAAAAAAAAAAAAAAGAGCTATATTTAAGAAAAAAGATTTGAGAGGCACAAAGGAGGGAGATTTGCGACTTTAGTTTTGTGTAATCAATATACCAAAATTTCTATGTCTTCAGAAGATTTTTCAAAATATCTTATGTGCTCCACTGGGGGGGAAAAAATCCTTCAAGTTTAAAACAACATAAGGGTGAGTAAACAATGACTGAATGTTCATTTCTGAATGAACTATCCCTTTTAAAACCTTAAAACTTGAATCGATGTACTTTAACTAAAGGAAACACCAGAAACATCTGTTCTGCATAACGCTTAAAAATGAAAGTGTACTTATGATTCGTAGCAAGACAAACCTTGCATGTATACGTGTGCATTTTTTCATATTTAACATCTGACGAGCACAGAACGAAAGATACTGGGGGTCAAAACAATCTTGGCCTTCGGAAAGAGCATGTGTTATTTGTGAGCTGCGTTGGACCACTAGACTTGATTAAGACTAAAACGAGCGGAGAAACGCGGCGGCCGTGCAGGACATTAGCCGGAGACGGCGTGAATAAGCCTCGTCGAATGGTAACAAGCATATAAAAGCAGCACGCCGCTGCTCCTTAACAAGCTTCTTCAGGGAAACACGCGCAGACAATACAGCTTAATGCGTCCAAACTGGACTAAATGAAAATGTTGTGTTGCACTTAAAAAACACAGACGGACTGGGTGCTTTTCTTTCTGAAAGGCACAAACTGCGGCCCACTTCAGCTTGGCTTTCAAACGGTGCGAATGTGAGAGTGCACAGTGATATGTGCAAACACACACACACACTCTCTCGTTTAGGGGGCAAGGTTTTGAGAGTGCTCATTTAAAGTCTTAAATCTGTCCATTAGGCTCTATTGTAGAGAAAATGTGGAGTAAATGAATATAGCGCGGCTTATGCTAAAAGCCTTTGCCACAGCAACCAATTAAGAATAAATGATTGGCTATAAAAAGCGCCTTACTTCCTGTTCCTCGTCTGTAAATAGTGAGGCGGGAAGCACTCTCTTCGCTCATTAAAATGTGCGCGCACGCGTGTCGTCCTGAGTGAAGGTATAGGCGGCTCTCTAAAAAGACAAGGCAGGAATCCATTGAGCGTAAATGAAAAATCAAACCCACCGTTTCTTTCGAAGAGCGTCTGCTTCATTATGTCGGCCTAATGTTGGGCCGTAAAGCGGAGAAAGGTATTCGAACGGGCCAGGTATGTGTGTGTGTGTGTGTGTGTGTGTGTGTGCGCAGTCCCGAAAGGCATCCGAACAAGCCAGATGCACACTAAACCAAGTTTTTCTCTTCATGGCTTCCATTTATTTGGTTTTCCTGTGCTTGTGTTTGGTTTTATCAGCTGAAACGGTTTGTTGCGTAAAGGAAGTGGGAACAAATTCGATAAGGAGAAGTTTAAAGGTGAAGTGTGTATTTCTGCATCACTACCGTTACATGAAAATTGACTGTTTTCAAACAGGTTTCCATACACAGTCTGTCACTGGTCAGAAAAATTGATAGCCCTACCCCAAATTGATAAAACTGGTTAAGACATCGGCTGTATTCAAAATAAAAAACTTCCCTAATACACACACACACAAAAAAAAAAAGATTAAATGTATTAAAAATGTATTTAAAAATGTAAAAATTCTCACTCAAAAACGGCATACTCTAATAACATAACAGAAAAGCATGACTTTTTAATGTTTTTAAATATTAAAATATTCAAAATATGACTATTTTTAAATAGGTTTCCTGTACCCAGTCTGTCATTGGTCAGACAAACAGATAGTCCTGTCCTGATAGTCCACATGGGATTTCATTCAAACCACATGCATTCATACAAGTATTATTTTAGTATCACTGAGATAATATTATAGTTTTTATTAATATTTTGAACTACTTTTTATTTTATCATTATAGGATGGATGTGTACACACACTTCCAACACACATTTATGTTCAAACAATTTGTGAAGTGAATTTTGCATCCGATGACCTAGGGCTGTGCAAATAATTGAATGCGATTTTAATGCGTAGTTCACTGACAAGCTACGCAATATCGCGTTCAAAATCGCATGCGATTCATTGCCGATTATGAACGCGATTTTGCATAGCTTGTCAGTGATCTACGGCTCTGTGTAGTAAATGCCGCTCCATCTGAACGCACGTGCTTTTGAACTACTTTTTATTTTGGTATTTTCCATTTTCACTTTAATTTTAAAGTTTTAGTAATTTTGTTGTCATTTTTATATATTTTTTAAATTATATATTTTTTTATTAGGCTACATTTTATTCCAGTTTCATTTTTTTATTGCAGTTTATTTAGTTACAATTTATTTAGTTAATTTAGTACATTAAATTATTTCAACATTAATTTAATTTCTTGTAACAAAATTTTTTTTATGGTGTTAGTTTTAGTAAACTATAATAACCCTTATTCATACTACAGTATCTAGAACATACTTTAACAGCTGCTAAGTAATTACTTATTCAAGAGAAATATGGAGGAATTTGCAATTTCAGGTAGTTCACTGACAAGCTACGCAATATCGCGTTCAAAATCGCATGCGATTCATTGCCGATTATGAACGCGATTTTGCATAGCTTGTCAGTGATCTACGGCTCTGTGTAGTAAATGCCGCTCCATCTGAACGCACGTGCTGGAGATTTACTACTAATCACAGAACCGGCTTTACTAACGAGATGCGCATGAAAATCTCATTCGATTATTTGCACAGCCCTACGATGACCCCTTTAATGCATCGTGTTTCCTTCTGGAGCATCAGTGAATGTTTGAACCTTTTTGAATCCTTTTTTGAACCTGAAGAATCTGCAGGACCTGGAGGATTTTTCTGAAGAATAGTGCTCAGTTTACCTGTCCAGAGCAAACAAGGGACTCATGAACAACCATCACAAAACAAAAAAACAGTAGTGGATCATCCAGGTAATCACCCACAGTATTAAGGGGTTCCCAAACTTTCGCATGCCACTGTATCTAGATTTTGAGTTTTTTTTTTTTTACTTTGTGCATTCAACATTTTTGATTCAGTTTAGAGGGAAAATTACTATTTCAGAGCATAGGCTTAAAATGGCTTTCATATAAAATCACCCAATCCTGTGTACAATGTCCTTGAGGTTTTTGAGAGTGGTGTGTACTGTAGATGTTTCTGAAGATGAGACAGTGCTGTATTTTTGAAGATGCTTAAGTGTTATTTCTTGGTGTTTACAGAATCAGTATTGTGTTGCGTAAGTGCTAAGAGGTGTTTGTATTACCCTGCTCTTTGGTGAAGTCTGCTTCAGTCATCGTGATGGGCAGCAGCAGCTCTCCTACCGCAGGCTGGATGGACACGCTGAATTCATCTTCTTTAGTACTGAAAGAAAAGAGAACAGCACCATAAGGTCACCACACACCTGTCCATCTTTTTCTGTGTTTCCCTTCTAAATATTCACTAATCGTCAAAGTTTGTGCGCTTAGTAAGAGAGTTTAGGGGAAAAAATTAATACTTTTATTAAGCAAGGATGCATTAAATTGATCAAAAGTGACCGAAAACACTTCAACATTGTTGAAGTAAATTTCATTTCGTTTTGAACTTTCTTTTATCAAAGAATCCTTAAAGGCACAATATGTCAGATTTTTTTTTTAAAATATCCAAAAACCACTAGAACAGTGTTATATATTTTGCTGACTTGTGTATTTACATTATCCCAAATGTTTCGAAGAATGTTTAAATCCAGAGAAATAAGCAATTTTAACTAGTGACATGGACCGTGTCTATAGTGTCATTGTGTCGCCTGCCAATTAAGGCTGAACGATTGAAGCGGTCGACTGTGGCATAATAAAAGCTCCGCTGCTTTCGAGCCGTGTGTCACGCTCGTTCAGTGGCCTCGTTTCGCTTCGACGGCTTTCAGCCTCACCCTGCTTCATTCTACTACGTTAATAAATCATTAGCTCATCCATGAACATGATTTCTGCCCGAGTCCCGTCGGATTGCATTGGCTGTGGGGATGAAGACGACAACTCCCATGATTCCACACTCAGTCACGGCGTCATCAAACTACACCTTCGTTTCTTTGTTTATTTTGAATACGCGCCCTCTAGCGGTGAAAATTACATATTGTGCCTTTAATTACTATGTTTTCTCACAAAAATATGAAGCAGCACAACCATTTTCAACACTGACAATAATAAAAAATGTTTCTCGAGTGGCAAATCAGCATATTAGAATGATTTCTGAAGGATCATGTGACACTGAAGACTAGAGTAATGATGCTGAAAATTCAGCTTTGTATAACAAAAATAAAATACATTTTAAAATTAAAATAGAAAACATTTATTTTAAACTGCAATAATATCTCACAATTTGTAATCAAATATAATTTTTAATCAAATAAATGCAGCCTTGGCAAACGTAAGAGACTTCTAAACACATTTAAAAATCTAACACCAAATTTTTGAACAGCAGTACATATATGGTATTTAATACAATATAAAGTATTATAGTATATAAAATTGTATCTTATGGACGTTTTATGTCTACTTAAAGGGGTCATATGATGCGATTTCAAGTTTTCCTTTCTCTTTGGAGTGTTACAAGCTGATTGTGCATAGATAAGATCCCTGAAGTTGCAAAGACTAAATCTCAAAACAAGGAGGGGGCTTTGTAGAAAACGAAGCGTTTGAGAGAGGCGGGGCATAGAGGACCTACAATAATGTACAGTATTTGAAAAAGAATGTGTTTTTTGAACATTAAAGCATGTCAACATATTCTGTTACACCAAATACACCAAATAATGATCTTTAAAAAAGCATCATATGACCCCTTTAAGGAATGCCTTCTTCAGCTCAGAGCTGATATATTTTTACATTTCTGAGTGAGAAAAAAGACCAGGAATATGTACAAAGAAATTAAATAGGATCAATTATGATGTCACGTGAACTAACAAATTGATGTGATAAAGCCGTAAAACATTCCAGGGAAGTTGTAACAGTGTTTCACAGTTTTTAAACAAGTAAAAATATTTTACATCCACGAGAGAGACTGCAACACAATCTATTTTGTTTTCGGACCATCCTCTCATCCCAAAAGAGTAAAAGAATAAAGTTATTGATTGTCAGGTTTGCCAATTTACTTTGTAAGTAGACAATTAGCTGAGAAACAGAACTGTTATTACCATCCCACTGGATCAATCATCACTGATCCACACACAAAAGACAGAAAAAAAGAAAGAAAGAAAGAAAACAGGAGAGAGAAGGATGAAAGTAATTTCTATTTTCATATTCATATTAATTAGCATCATCACTGTTTGTGGCCTGCCATAGGAAAGACGACTGTCAGGTACTCCGATAAAGACTGAAATCTGACATTAAAGGGGTCATATGATGCGATTTCAAGTTTTCCTTTCTCTTTGAAGTGTTACAAGCTGATTGTGCATAGATAAGATCCCTGAAGTTGCAAAGACTAAAGTCTCAAAACCAAAGAGATATTCTTTATCAAATTTAAGACTCTGCCACGCCCCCCTAAAACGGCTCGTTCTAACACGCCCCACATATCTACCTCACTATGTGGAAATATTAGCATAATGATGCCGAAATGTGCACGCAAAGAAAGAAGGCGCGGTTTCAGTAACCGCAGTTAGTGTTGAAAATGTAGTGAAGTAAAGAGTAAAAGTTGCTAATATCTTTGATACTCAGTACAACTACAAAGTATCAAAAAATATACTCAAGTACAGTAACTAATTACATTTACTCCAATACTTTACACCTCTGCGGCAGGCTGAGAAATAGGAAGCCAATAAGGAGTGAGTCCAGGAGCGGGAGAACAGGGGCACCACGGAGATCAGGTAATGAGGGGAAACAAGCTTGAAAAAGATTCAGAGACCAAATAAGCGGGCTAGGGATCAACGTGCAAAGTAAATCCAGGTATTACTTTCTAATACGGCATAATCTCTTGACGTAGCTGCGATGGAGAGGGGCCGAATCCCTCCTTAAACCGACTCCATGAGCTCGGCTTTGGTCCAGGGCCACAGACACGTGTGCAGGCCTGACCTGCGCCCACTCGTCTCCATGTCATTGAACTCACATTGGCTCCATTAGCACACATAATCTACCGGTCGCCTGCTCACTCCCTCTCTTCAGCTCGGCTGTTTATGGTGATGTTATTCACGCCTGGCTATTTCACTGTATCGATCACAAAAGCCTCCAGCGTAATCGAAAAAAGAAAAAACAATTACAAGCTTTGTGGAGAAGTGTAATCACTCTAAATTAGATTATTAAAAAAATGTAATGCATATTATTACCATTCACATGATTCGGTAATAATTTATTTTTTAAAAACGTATTGAAAGGGGGAACAATTAATTTAGTCTTATTTCGCCCTGTGTAAGGATAATGAACAATAGTAATTTAATCTGTATAATGACATGCTAGCGCCATCATAACGTGCACACATTGTGAGTGTGTATTAATGTTTTTGCTGAACATAGTTTTTTGAGGAAAGCAAACACCATCGTGCCTCGTTCTCAGATGTGTCAAAGTTACCTGATCTAAGGGTTTTATTGCTACTGAAGCATAATGACTCGAGGTAGGGATGGAAATTGCTAGGGATTTAAAGATTCTGGCTCCTCTTAACAATGTTTGCTGTATATGATATGTAGTGAACTGTTACCACAGCTGGAAGTTTGCAGCTTGCGTGGAGTCATTGAAGTCAACGCCCATGGACACCGTTACTGACGCCTGCGGCTCCAAACGCTCTGAAGACAGAGAGAAAGATCTGTCAGCACGCTGTCTGAACAATCAAAACCATAAGATCAATCTAATTCTACAGAGAAAAAAAAATAAAAAATCAAAGCAAGGAAGGAAAGAAAGAAGAATGGACAGGAAGCATGAAGGATACACTAAAGGAAGTCAAGGAGGATGGATGGATGGATGGATGGAAGGAAGGAATGAAAAAAAAAAGGAAAGAAGGGCAAAAAAAACTAAGGAAGAAAGGAATGAAGGAAGGAAGATGGAAAAAAGGGAGGAAGGATAAATGGAAGGAAGGAAGAAATGACAGAAGGAAGGAATAGAAGAAAAAACTTAAGGAAGAAGGAAGTAAGAATGGAAAGAAGTAAATGAGGGGGAAAGCAAGGTTGGAAGGATGGAAGTAAGAAAACAGAAGGAATGAAGAAAAGAAAAAGCAAGAATGGATAGAAAGAATGAAGGATGAACTAAAGGAGGGGAAAAAAAGAAGCAAGGATGGATAGAAAGAATAAAGGATGCGCAAAGGGAAGTAAAGATGGAAGGATGGAATGAAGAAAAAACAAAAGAAAGGAAGGGCAAAAAAACAAACAAAGAAAGAAGGGAGGAAATATGAAAAGGTGAAGAAGAATGAGCAGAAGGAAGGAAGAAAAGACAGAAGGAAGGAATTGAGGGAAAAAAACGTAAGGAAGAAGGAAGGAAGAATGGAAGGAAGTGAATACGGGGAAGCAAGGTCAGAAGGATGGAAGTAAGAAAAGAAGGAATGAAGGAAAGAAAAAAGCAAGGATGATAGGAAGAATGAAGGATGAACTAAAGGAAGCAAAGAAGGAAGGAAGGATAGATGGAGGAAAGAAAAAACAAAGGAAGAAAAGAAGGGGGAAGATGGAAAAAAGGAGGAAGGACGAATGGAAGAAAGAAGAAAGAGAAGGATGAAATGGAGGAAAAAACATAATGAAGAAGGAAGGAAGGAAAGAAGGGAAAGGAAAATAAGAAGGACGGGAGTAAGATAAAACAGAAAGGAGGAAGGAAAGATAGAAAAAGGAAGACAGTATGGAAGGCTGGAAGAAAAAGAAAAAAAAAAACAGAAAGAAAGAAGGAAAGGCAAACTGAAGGACGTAAAGATGGAAAGAAGCAAGAAAGGATGGAAGGCCAGAAGAAAGAAATTAAAGAAGGAAGTCAGTAAAGAAAGCCAGGAGAATGGAAGGGAGAAATAATGAAATGAAGGAGGGAAGGAAGAAAAGAATAAAGGAAAAGAAAGAAAGGCCAAAAGGAAGAATGTAAAGGTCAGAAGAAAGTAAGGAAAACCAGAAGGATGGAAGGAAGAAATAACAGAATGAAGGAAGTAACTATAAGCAAGAAAAAACAGAAGGAAGGAAGGAAAAAAGGGAGAAAGGAAGAATGAAAGGAAGCAAGGACAGAAGGAAGGATGGAAGGAAAAAGACAGGAGTGAAATAGTTGGTGTAGAGCTGAACTGTGAAAGTGCAGCACAGTATAAAGAAGCTTGATCTGTTCTTGATCCCTCCCAGCCATGAAATTCATCTTTGTGATGCTTTAACAACACGAGCATGGTTCAATTTAATGTGATAAAACCCAAACCTGTCCTGTGAATGACTAAAACTGCTTTGTGACAGAGAACGATAGAAACAGACTGAGAGAAAACATAGGGAATTGAGAGTGTGTGTTTGTGTTGTGCACCACTGTGAGCCGTGTGTCTGATGAGAGGACCTCTGCTAATCGATATCATATCAGCTGCATTAATACAGGCTGAAGGAGGGAGAATGTGAATGTGTGTGTGCTGGAGAAGTCTCAGCTGGACAGTCTGATTAATAAATAATATTTCTCAATGTCTAATTTGACTGTTAATAGTTAATAAACACGTTAAAAATAAATGGGTTGCCTTCTTGAATTCTACACAATTTAGAAGGTCCGTGATTAAGATGAACTGATTAAAATGTACATGACAATCAGAGAAAGAAAGATTCAACTAAATGTTGAAAATAGGACCACAAAATCCCTGACTGGAAGAGAGAGAGAAAAAGTAAAGACAAAATATGAAACAATGTAAAAATAAATAAATAAATAAAAATACCTAAAGCAAACATTATTAAATAAATAAATAGCACAAAATAATAATAATAATAATAAATGCCTGTAAAACAGAAGTAATTAAAATAAATACAAAAATAAAAATAAAAACTCAACATAAAAAACAACAATAAATAAAGTAAAAAACAAAAAAAATTATTAAAATAAACACTAATTGTAAAAAACTACTGTACAAAGTATAATGTAAAAAACACCTATAATTGAAAAAAACAACAACAAATAAATAATGTTAAAAAAACTACTTTTTAAAAAATAAATAAACTAGGAATAAATAAATAAACAATTATTAAAATAAATAAACTAATAAAAAATACTTTTTTTTAAATACTTAAATACTTACTGTAAAGAAGAAGAAGAAGAAGAAGAAGAAGAAGAAGAATAATAAGAAACGGAGCAATTCCAATAGGGTCCTCACACCATCGGTGCTCGGGCCCTAATAATAAACACTATAATTAAAATAAATAAATACTCAATGTAAAAAACTACTATAATTAGAAAAAATGAATGAATTATTGAATGAACAAATAAATACATAAATAAATACCCTATGTAAGTAAAATAATGTAAATAAACAAACACCTAATGTAAAACAAAAAAAAACTATAATTAAAATAAAAATAAAAATAAATAATAATATGAATGCCCAATGCACAAAACAATAAGAATACCCAACATAAAAAAGAGCAACTATGATTAAAAGAAATGAAAAATAAATAAATATGAAAGTAAATACGCAGCAGTTGCCGAATAGGTGTTGATATTGATAAACGTGACTGTTCATGTTGTACTGTGCTCATGTTTGTGCCAATTTCAGAATGATTTGTACTTCAAACTCTTCATTCAAAATCAAGCAAGAGCACGGCAATCCGGTTCTCCATGTTATGACCCCTGTGCATCACACATTCACAGCTAGTCCTGTTAAACTCCATTAATTCACGTGTGAAGCTCACCGATAGCATTAAAGCGGTGGATGTTTTGTCCAGTGGAACTCTTCTCAGAGATGTGGATGTTCTCCAGGGCTTGGTCACTACTGTTGCTTAGCGTCAGCTGCAGGGATACCATGCTGTTGCCATAGATACAGGGCTGCCGGGTGAAGCGGTACTGGGCGGACAAACCTTTACCCGTCATCCTGTGGAGCAGCTCATGGGAGGTTTCCGGCACAAACACGGGAAAACTCGCCTGCAGGGAGACACGTACATGCCAAGAAACGGCGTCAAACTGACAAGCAAGAAATACACAAAGACAGAGAAGAGAACACCTGCAGTTGGCAACAAACTGATTAGAAAAGGAAAGAACAATATGTATCGAAAATAATTTGGTCATTATGATCAGCAGCAGTGCCTTCTGGATAATTTGTGGTGGTAAATAAGTAATATTTAAGACTGTAGTTGGGTCACATTATTCCTGAACATGTTTGATCTAATTCTTTTTTTGTCTGACCAATGGAAAATGAGAGGAAACCTGTATGTAAACAGTCATTATTTTGGCAATTAATCAACACTATTTCTTTTTCTGTCTGACCCACGGAAAATTTTTTTGCTAATTAATTAAAACTTTAAGACCTAAAACATGTAAAATGTCAATGTTCAAATAAAACATACAAAAATACCTATTTGCAAACAGACAGACATGAAAGTGAAAAGAAAAAGGCAGTAAAGAGCCACCATCAGCCCATTTCCTCCTCTTAATAAAGCCACCTTTTAACTTTTTATCTTAATGCAAAATCTCTGAGACACAGATGAAGATGATAGAGAGGCATAAGGCTATTTTCATTATAAACACATTAGCGAAACCTTAGCAAAATGCCTATATAGCGTTAGAGTAATGCTACGATGCTCTTAATGCTGTCTTAGGTCATTTATAAGATAAGCAGAGTGGAAACAGAGCTAGATTTTTTTCTGAAGAAAATAGTGGTTCTACAACGCATCTGTGCTAAAGTTACCATAACAATGCTAATATCAGTGCATTGTGGTTGCTAAGGTGTTCTGAATGGTTGCTAGGTGGTTACACAAACAATGTGGGAGGAATTGTGTGCCAACATTAAATACTTAGGGTCAGGGGTTTGCATTAAGTGTTCTTTAAGCTAAAATGCAACTCCATAACATCATGAACTCATGTTATATAAATGCTCATTACTGACTTGTTTATCATTTCTAACCAATTCCAACAACTGTTTCCAAGACTATCACAAGTCTGTTTCCAAGACTATCACAAAACTTCTAGATAATGTTACCTTGGTGAAATTTAAAACAGCAGAAAACACAACAGCTGTGTCCAATACAGAAAAACAAATGTTCAAGTTGGCAATGGATAAAAATGCATTAACAAAGACGCAGTGACAAAACAACTGCTCCAGCAAGTGACTGCACTGTCAGCTCTGCAAAAACACTCCAAATCCAGATAATGTTATGAGCCATAATTAAAGCTTTAATTAATCAATATAAAACTAAGGTCGCACAACTATATTGGAATCGGTTAGTAGTAGTGTTAATTTCGTTGTAGGATAAGGTTGACTAAATATGATAAAAACTAAGACATTTTAGCCCGGGACTAAGACTAAGACTAAAATGTAAATAGCTGACCAAATTAACACTAGTTAGTAGTATATAAAATGGATCCAAAACACAGTAAAATTACGAAATATTATTATAATTTAAAATAACTCTTTTCTATTTGAATATATTTTAAAATTTAATTTATTCCTGCGATGCAAAGCTGAATTTTCAGCATCAATACTCCCGTCTTTAGTGTCATACGATCCTTCAGAAATCATTCTAATATGCTGATTTGCTGCTCAAGAAACATTTCTTATTATTATCAATGTTGAAAACAGTTGTGCTGCTTCGTATTTTTGCGCAAACCATTTTTTGCAGAATATTTTGATGTATAGAAAGCTCAAAAGAACGGCATTTATTTGAAATAGAAATCTTTTCTATCATTATAAATGTCTTTACTGTCACTTTTAAACAATTCAATGAATCCTTGCTATATATTGCTGTATTACTTTCATAAAAAAATCTCCAAACTTTTGATCGGTAGTGTATAATACTGACCATCATATCAGCTCTCAGCCATAACAAAAATAACCTGCAATCGTATCAGCAAAAATGTCTCTAATGGCGCATCCCTGATTTACACTAGTTTGCTTCAAGAAAATCACTGTAAAGGCCCAAAGAAAAGAAAGGCCAAGCGTCATGCCTGAATTGCGTCCTGTGACACCAGCTGCCATTGATATGACGAGTGTGGAAAGACCACTGACGTCTCAATGCATTACTCCTGACTCTCTGGATTCTCTCTAGCTCATGTGACAGCAGAACAGATTGGCGGCTGATGGCAGTTTTCTGGCTCTACACTGCACTCCTGAACACCTGGACAGGGATGACATTTCTGCCTGCAATTTATTTGTTGGCCGCGGCTCGGTCTTCAACACCAGCAATCCCTCCGAGCTATGATTCCATCTGCAACCCAACACTGGAGTATTTTCATAGAGTAATGAGAGGTGTTATAAAAGCTAAAAACAGTGCAATAGAAATAAACTGAAAATGTGCAAAGAAAAATGGCATCCTTTCATATTCTGAATTCTGAAGTACCTCAAGGCTCTGTTTGAGGACCGGTAATGTTTGCACTGCTCAGTTCTGAATGTTTTAACATTTTTAATGTTAGAGCATTAAAAATGTAATTAACAACACCAAGTCGGAATCAACACATTGATTTGATTTTACAGAAAAAAATCTGCAGAATTCTAGGAAATGGGTTTAAATATGGTAAAAATTTGTTAAATGTAGCTGTAAACAATTCATATTAACAGCTAAATCAGTATCAAATTTTGTAATATAACTGATACTTTTATTATTAAACATTCAAAATCTAAAATATATTATTTTCTACCAATTATATTAAATTAATTACTAAATTATTAATATTAAATATTATTAAATATAACTAAATATTAAATTATTCATATAACCATAATAAATTATTTTAATATTAATATTATAAAACATTATATTTTGATCAATTATATTACAATACTAAATAATATGAAATAATATAATTATTAAATCTTGATAAATAACATTCAATTATAAATACAATGATATAACAGCTTAATATAATGCTAATAATATTATGAAATATTAATTTTGATCGATGATATTACATTATGACCATTAAACTGATTTTGGTACTTATGCAATTATTATTAATATTATATTATTTATCTAAATATTTAATAAAAAATAAACAAGTGTGGGGAAAATGTAAAAAATTAAATTATTAATTTAATTAATTAAACATTAAATTAAAATTAAAATTATTTTGATATATTTTTAATTAATAATATCAAATTATGTATCAAATATAACATTATTTACTTAAATATTAAATAAAAAACACAAACAAAGGTGGGGTATATGTAGAAAAAAAGTGAATGATGGGCGTTCGAATTCTGCAGAAATTTGCAGAGCTTCTGTACGGGCCTGCACATCACCTACAATCACCATGACGGATGGCGCAACCGAAACTAGACAAACCAAAATAAATTTGGTTTGAAAACCTGACAGTATGAATGAGTTGGTTTATCTGAAACAGCAGCGTTATAAGAACACAGCAGTTGCAGTGCAGCTGAAAGCACCTTTAGATGTGTCATATCCTTTTGTAAGCTTCCTACAAAAACACACGCATATACAGACACACCATGAATTTATAGCCGTGCTTTTGGAGGTGTCAAGCCGGTCTGTGTTGATAAAAGTAGCCGTAATGTTAACAGTGTCAGATTTACCACACAGAAATGCGCAGGTTGTGTCCACCATTTCATGATAACCGCTCCTGTCAGTGTCCTCAAGGACTGGACGAGCCAATATACAACACATCGCTTATGATCACCAATATAACACACACACTTCGCGTCCTATAAAGTGGTCAACTCCGCTGGGTGGTGGAAGAGTAAATAACCGAAAGAAAAGAGTAACCTTGACCGCAGCGTCCCGCACACACGCTCGGACACGTCTCATAGTGGTTAGGTGGAGCAAATATACAACACATCGCTTATGATCACCAATATAACACACACACTTCGCGTCCTATAAAGTGGTCAACTCCGCTGGGTGGTGGAAGAGTAAATAACCGAAAGAAAAGAGTAACCTTGACCGCAGCGTCCCGCACACACGCTCGGACACGTCTCCCGTGTGAAGGGGAGCATGATTGAGGGGCTCTATTATGGATGAGCTTAAAGGAAACCTCAGTGATGGATGACAACTCGCTCTAGTCACCCTCACATATCCCAGCATCCTCTCTGTCCAGCTGCCGCCCAATTCTGCTGACAGATGCAAAACACATCCACTGGCCGGGATAAAGAGGGAGAGAGAGAAAGAAACCAGAGGAGGGAAAAGAAGGATTAACGGAGCTAAAATCGAAATCACATTATGGCTCAGTACGCTTATCAAATCTCAGATACTTTTTACTTAAAGTATCTATCGCGTGTATATATATATATTGCCTATATTGTGTTTCAGATCAAAGAGTATCACTGTGTTCATTTACACATGAGCAGCTCATGATCTGGTGTTTTCAGCATCTCAAAGCGACTCAGTTAACAGTAAATGCTGCAAACTCCATGTGCTTAACATCCATTTGGGAATGCAACGTGTGCCAAGTTCAATTTACTTTCACATTAGCAGAATTTTTTTTACATTTTTGTGAACAGATGATTACAGAATTTCACCAGAATTGTAATGAAAAGCTAAGTAAACTTGCTGTCAACTAAACACAGAAATGTAAAGCTTGAGGGTATAACTCTTGAGTGAAATAATTAATACATACTGTAATTTTACTATTGTAAACAAAAATAATTAAGATAAATCATTCACTTTATGTTACAGTGCAGATGTATTACAATAATTATGTATACAATAATGCATAATTAAAGATGTATAAAATAATGTATTACAATATTACAATTATTATTATCATCAATTGTGATGCAGACTGAACTGATTCTGTGTGATTTTGAGATTTGAGGTATTTTGAGATATTTTGAAATTTGAGATATTTTTTATATTTTCAGTTTTCATTTTAATTCCAGTTAAATTTGTAGTCATTTTGTTGTGTATTTTTGTCATTTTAATTATTATTTTATTTTCATTTGTTTATTTTTTTATATTAATTATATTAATTAATTACATTATTAATATTCATTTAATATTACGATTTAATTTATAAATTTTTATCTCCGTTTTAGTTTCAGTTATTTTAATACATCACGTTAGACAAAAAAAAAAAAAGAGAGAAAGGTTGCTTTGGCAACTAGCTGAAATAAAATATATTTTTTTATAAATATTTTACTTCACTTAATGTTTATTCTACTTTAAGAATCCAAAGGTAATTTTTATGTTTATAATTTTAGTTAACCATAATAACCCTTATTTGAGTCCACTTTAAAGTCTAGGTCAGCGTCAATGCAAAGAGATTTTTATTTTATTTTATTCTGTTCAGTTTGGTCACTGCAAAAGGGTTGATGCTCTTAATTTTGCTCACAAAGTTCACCATACTGATGCATTTAACTTGAAAACACATAATACATTCATACTCCTGGACCCCCCAACGTTCACCCAACCATAGTCTCACAAAATCCTGTGAGAAACACTGATACTTGCACAATCAAATCAAAAGTGTCTTTTATTGCTCAAAAAGCCACGGTAAACGTGTCCAGCATAAAGCACATGTGATTGACAGCGCGAGTCGGCGTCTCCACGTGTGTTTCTACCTTACTGCTGAGTCATAATGAGGACGGCACTGAGCGTGCTCCGAGAAGAACGGGGTCACCGCGGCAATGCCGGCCGGCTGATGGGCACCAAATGAACAAATTATGACGCGGCCCCCGGATTGTGATGGGGTCAAACGCCCCCCACCCCGCGCTCAGCCCGCGCTCGCCCTCGTTCGCCCCCCGCTCACCCTACACTGACAGTTCAATTTCCATCCGACGCCCTGCGTTCGGCTCCCATTCGCCCTGCGCTAATTATGAATGAAAAGTTATCAGCCGACTCCCCCGGCGTGCGCTTAAACAGTATTTCAGAGCAGATCCGCACGTCAAAATGTTATTAGAAACGGGAGGAGCCGAGGCATATAGTTCGCACGCTGACCCCGGATCGGCTAAATACCGCCGCTAACCGTCCCAGAACGCATCAGAGTGTCTCTCTTCGCACACCGTTATCTCATCTGGACCCGCGCCGGCCAAAGTCACACACACTCGCAGCCGTGTCGTATGAATATATTTTCATACATCTGCATGCACGCGGCTGAGAAAGACCAGCTGTGTGACGTGACACGCCATAATGAATGCATGTATGTGCGAGCGAGAGAGATGAGGTTTATCCACCGTGACTAAGATTATAGCGGCCTGTAATGTATTTATGCATAGCATTGACTTTTGGTCACTGCAAAAGGGTTGATGCTCTTAATTTTGCTCACAAAGTTCACCATACTGATGCATTTAACTTGAAAACACATAATACATTCATACTCCTGGACCCCCCAACGTTCACCCAACCATAGTCTCACAAAATCCTGTGAGAAACACTGATACTTGCACAATCAAATCAAAAGTGTCTTTTATTGCTCAAAAAGCCACGGTAAACGTGTCCAGCATAAAGCACATGTGATTGACAGCGCGAGTCGGCGTCTCCACGTGTGTTTCTACCTTACTGCTGAGTCATAATGAGGACGGCACTGAGCGTGCTCCGAGAAGAACGGGGTCACCGCGGCAATGCCGGCCGGCTGATGGGCACCAAATGAACAAATTATGACGCGGCCCCCGGATTGTGATGGGGTCAAACGCCCCCCACCCCGCGCTCAGCCCGCGCTCGCCCTCGTTCGCCCCCCGCTCACCCTACACTGACAGTTCAATTTCCATCCGACGCCCTGCGTTCGGCTCCCATTCGCCCTGCGCTAATTATGAATGAAAAGTTATCAGCCGGCTCCCCCGGCGCACGCTTAAACAGTATTTCAGAGCAGATCCGCACGTCAAAATGTTATTAGAAACGGGAGGAGCCGAGGCATATAGTTCGCACGCTGACCCCGGATCGGCTAAATACCGCCGCTAACCGTCCCAGAACGCATCAGAGTGTCTCTCTTCGCACACCGTTATCTCATCTGGACCCGCGCCGGCCAAAGTCACACACACTCGCAGCCGTGTCGTATGAATATATTTTCATACATCTGCATGCACGCGGCTGAGAAAGACCAGCTGTGTGACGTGACACGCTATAATGAATGCCCGCGTTTGAATGCATGTATGTGCGAGAGAGAGAGATGAGGTTTATCCACCGTGACTAAGATTATAGCGGCCTGTAATGTATTTATGCATAGCATTGACTTTAAATAAGCCCTTTCTCTTTCTCTCAATCTCACCCTTTATTTCAGTTCTGATTAGCCTGCCCGCCGAGGCTCGTGGGTAGTATTCTAATGACCTGTGCCTAACAGCTTCTAGCTGCGCAGCGGTCCGGGCCTGACGAGCCTGTCAATCAAAGCAGCGGCGCTGACACCCGCCCAACGCACCGATACAGGTCACAGGGGCTACCCTGCAGTGATGGACAGGAGGAGAATAGGAATTCTGACAGATGGAGGTTGGAACCTATAGGAAGTTTAAAAGTTTTATCCGACTCTGGGATATCAAGGATTGCGTGTTATCAGCAATCATAGTTCAACCACAGCGCTGTCAGCAAGATGTCTGGAGTTTAATAGCATGCTCGTATACTCAAAGTAATAAATCAGTATGACCTTTGCATGCTTTTTGGTGCATTTTGACATTTTATTGAAAAAAAAAAAAAGTATTTCCTAATAACGTTAGAATATTCATGATATAGAGAAATGGAGACTATGATGGAATTGATCTGGAAATTTAAATATATGACAAAGTCAGAATATGTGACGTACACAAAATTTTAATTTGTTTCAATGAAAACTTATTTTTCACAATACTGTATGCAATCAATAAGACTTTATTAGCCCTGCTTTACAATCATTACTGAGCAAATACACAAATCACTAAATAACTCCATTCGTTTGCTTTTCTTTTAAAGAAAAATGGCAGATAAAACTCAAAATTATTTCCAGGCAAAGTAATAATAATATCAAATAAGTTTTAAGCTCTTTAAGGACAAACTGTCAATTGACAAGTCAGTTTTGTTAATCTGATAACAGCCAGTTCTTGAAATCTCAGTCGAAATGTTTTGAACCAGTTTATTGCTAGTTTACACAATAATTCCTTCAGGTCTACTAATATGATGATTAGACGAGCGACTAGTTTAATTAGCACTGAAATGAATAATATATAAATATATAATAATAAATAGACAGTGCACTACCTTTTAATAGTTTTAATAACCTTTTAAAATAAAGTAATACTTTATTCAGCAAGGATGCATTAAATTGATCAAAAGTGACAGTAAAAATTAAATTACAAAAGGTTTCTATTTCAAATAAATGCTGTTCTTTTAGATTTTTCGATTCATCAAAGAATCCTGGGGAAAAAATGCATTGTTTTTTACAAAAATATTAAGCAGCACAACTGCTTTCAACACTGAAAATACTAATGAATGTTTCTTTGTCAGCATATTAGAATGATTTCTGAAGGATCATGTGACACTGAAGACTGGAGTAATGATGCTGAAAATTCAGCTTTGCACTACAGAAATAAATTACATTTTAAAATATATTCAAATAAAAACCTAATTTTAAATTGTAATAATATTTCGCAATATTACTGCTTTTTACTGTATTTTTGATCAAATAAATGCAGTCTTTGTGAGCATAAAAGACTTATAATACAAAAATATAAAAACATCTTTCCATCCTCATATATATCCACCTATATTGTAGCCTATATTAACTTTAGCTTGTGTTTACTATGCAAAAATATCTTTATCGATTCAATGTCTTTACAAATATTACAAACAATAAGATCAAGGTCCAGATCCTACTAAGAATCTTTAGGTTGAAATATGACAGCAGCACAGGTCTATAAACACGCGTATAGTGTGTGTGTTATTGTCGGGGGGTGTCTGTGGGCCGCTGGGATATTACAGTTCATGTGTCAATCCTAAAAGAGAAAGACACAGATAGTATTTGAGAAGAAATGACCACACATGCTTCATTCATCTCTTACTGACATCTCTCCCTCCCTCTCGCTCTCTTGATATCCCTCTCTCCCTGACACAGGACTCTCACGGGAGAGGAAGGAGCCGTCATACTGCAAAAGGTCAACAATCACATACGCTGACAACACACACACACACGCTGGACGCACACAGGAGGAGAAGAAAGAGAGAAGGCAATGAAAAACCAATCTATAATACAAAAAGAAACAAAGAACATAGAAGACGTCTAGATGGACACAAACAAAAGACTGGAGGGGAAATGATAACAAGCAAGAGGTATAATGTACAATCAGCCGGTCATTAATGCAAAATGAACCCAAACAGGATGAATATATAGTAGCAGTCATTTTATGCAAACAAATCAACTCAAAGTATTCAAGAGAGACTTATTAAACATCAACACAAAGTCAGACGGACACACACCTGTAAGGCCGATGCAGTGGGTGAGATGGAGAGCCCTTGCAGGTCAGACAGCAGACTAGGAGACAGGATGGAGCTCTTGGGTGTGGGGACCGCCGCGGGCGAGACTGTCAAACAAAACAATAACAGCAGCATTAAAACCCATATATGTATCAATACATTAATTGGTCCTGTTCCAAAAGAGAGTGAGCTGCCTAACTAAACAGCATATTGAGGTTTCTGTTTTGTCTCTATTTAACACATTTTACTAGTTTTAACGGCATTATGCAAATTTCCCCTCAAAATCAGCACAAAAAACGAGTATAAGGTACACAGCTTTGTCTAAACGTTGAGGCATCATCATATGTATCTTTTACAGATAAGCAAGCAACATTCTATTGTATTTATATGATTACACATACACTCACACAGCAGATTACATATTTACTGTATCAAATCACAACCCAGTCTTAAAGGAATCATATGATGCGATTTCAATTTTTCCTTTCTCTTTGGAGTGTTACAAGCTCTTGGTGCATAAAGAAGATCTGTAAAGTTGCAAAGACTAAAGTCTCAAATCCAAAGAGATATTCTTTATAAAAGTTAAGAGTCAGCCACGCCTACCTAAAACGGCTCGTTCTAACACGCACCCACATGTCTACGTCACGATGTGGGAAAATTTGCATAACGCCGCCCAAATGTTAACGCAAAGAAAGAAGGCGTAACTTTAATTCTCACTGTAGTATTGTTGACGCTGCGACAGGGCATCATCACAGTATGGTGAGGGGCGTAACATTTCCGTCTCATGCTTGAGGTATTCGGCCAATCACAACGCACTGGATAGCTGTCCAATCACAGCACACCTTGCTTTTCAGAACAATGAGCTTTGTAAAAATTGACGCGTTTCAGAAAGGCGGGGCATAGAGGAGAAACAATAATGTACAGTATGTGGAAAATAATGTGTTTTTTGAACTTTAAACCGCATAAACACATTTCATTACACCAAATACACAAAATAATGTTCTTTTTAGCAACATCATATGACCCCTTTAACCATATCGCATTCTCAGGCATTGTTAGAATAAATTTTTTTAAAAGTCGTCAGCCAATTGGTGAGTAACACTGTTTAATATACTCACCAACACTGATTATAAGTCGCATTTGGTGTTTGGTGAATGTTAATTTTAGGCTCTACACTTTTATTTCAACACTGACAAGTATCAATAAAAATAGTCACATCTAATTAAAGACAAACAACTTCACCTAATTTTTTGTGTGTATTTTTTCTCAGAGGGATTTTACAAAAAGTCATTGTTTAAGAGTTACAAGGCATGAAGCAAACCAACCAGCCAGAAGGCAAATCAAACAATGACGAACATGATCTGAAGCAACAAATTATATGAAAATCGGAAAATCGTCAGCTACAAAACTGTACTTAATATACTTAATGAATACAGTCCCATGCTGCATTGCTAATGCCAATAAAATCTAAAAAGATGGGGATTTAAACTACTGATTTAAAGTTGTTTCTGCTTCCTATTTGAGTTAAACACACACAGAAACAGAAACAACTGAACTATTTGAGTTCACCAGACAAATTAATAACTGCAAAACATCCAGTAAACACACTTCACTTCTAAATTTCATCTATTACGTACCTTTTAAGAGATTCTTATGCACTAAACACTACAATTAATGATGTAAAAACATGTTTAACTATTTATTCCCGGGTCATTTTTGACAACCTAAAAAAACTGTTCAACAATTAGCCATTACTAAAGAACATTTCAATATTCAAGCATAAAACAGGACGTCGTTTTATACAGAGAGAGAGCACAAGAGAGAAGGTTGGCTAAATTAGCAGAGGGAACAATGTATGTTTAATTGTAAAATGATTAGATGGATTAATTTGGCCTTTGGATTTCATTTGCTCAGAACAAGTGACACACACACACACACACACACACACACAGAGAGACCATCTAACTGAAGTGTGCACAGTTCAACGGCAGCATTAAAGCAGGTTGTGTGTGTGTATTAATGAGAGCATTTCACGGTAGTTGAGGATGGAGGCAAGAGCCTTAAATTATGCACAATAATGACAGAACAGCAAACAAAACAGGCAAAGAGTGTATAGTGTGTGTGTGTGTGTGTTAGCTGTTTAATTACCGCCTCTAATAAAGGCAGCAGGGTCAACTACAGGAACATTACATCACAACAATTAACAATGCAAACTCTGTGTGGACAGGATAGAAAAAGTCATCATGTTTGTGCATTTTATGCCTTGCAAATGTAAACATTTGGGTTTATGTAATGAACTAAACATATTCTGCTGATTTTAAACTTGTTACTTATGTTAGCAAAATTGCAAAAGTGACTTTTGATAGTTTCGGAAGCATCAGTAAAAATGGGTTCAAAATCAAAAACTGATTAAATGATTTGCATTGGATACCATTGCTTTTTAAAACAAAATGTGCATGTACGAACTTACTGAGTTGCATTACAGCTACTCAATTCACAGATATTTATGTATTTTGAAACTTAAGCGAACTAAAAATGCAATGAAATACAAATGTTTATTTTGGCACACAGAAATGCATTGCTAAAAATAAAATGCATAGTTGTGGTGGGGCCAGTGAAAACGTTAAAACTACTGAGAAAACATCCTTATTGTTGAGGCCTGGCATGTGTGAGCGAGAGAAAGAGAGAGAGTGTGTGAGTGTATGTGTGCGTATGAACAGATGGAGGGGGAGATTATTGGTGCCACATTTTATTAGTCACGTTTTATGCTGTAGCATACACAATCACACAAACACACAGACTGAACACACACATTATTTACCTCCTGCACATATATAAAACCCAAGTTGTACATTGTGCATCCACTTGTGCGCACACTTGAGCAAAACACACCCAATATATGCGGTTAAAATTACCAAAGTCAATCTTGCATACCATCTGTCTATATATTTATGCACATAAACACTTCAAAATAGGCAATAGCATGAGGTGCAAGTATAAAGCGCTGGAATTCAGTGCACTTACTTTGTCGGTAGCATTCAATGGGTGTTTAGTAAACATGCATGACTTTTAATGAAGGTTTATGCATAAGTGATGCATCTATTTAATTGAAAAAATGCTGTGTCTGGCAAGATTTTTGAATGTTTTTGAAGTCTCTAATGCTCAGCAAGGCTGCATATATTTGATAAAAAAAAATACAGAAAAAAACCCAGTAATATTGTGAAATATTATTACAATTTAAAATAAGTGGTTTCTATTTGAACATATTTAAAAATGTAATTTATTCCTGTGATGCAAAGCTGAATTTCCAGCATCATTACTCTGGTCTTCAATGCCACATGATCCTTCAGAAATCAGTTTAATATGCTGATTGCTGCTTATTTATTTGAAACAGAAATTTTTTTACATTTTATGTTTTACTGAAACTTTTAATCAATTTAACGCATCCTTGCTAAATAAAATCCTACTGACCCCAAACCTTTTTTGAGTAGTGTACATTTGCTATACATCTTAAATTAAATTTAAAAACCACCAGGAATTTATTTAGAAAGAATGAATGTGATTGGCTCAGAAACAGAGCAAGGTCATGACTGGTTACACTGAGTGAGATCAGTACCTGTCTTTGCTGTCCGGTTTCTGCTGTTGTAGTTTTTTGTTTTTTAGAGTTTTCTTCTTCTTTTCTGAGTCTGATTCCCTGGAGCTGTTCTCTGATTGGCTGGAGCTGCTCTTATTCGAATCATCACTGTTCTCCTCACTCTCAGATTCGCTTTCTGATTCTACATGTACACAAAAACAGGTTAAGACAACCCTCAAATTTGCTAAAACATCCTTTTACACTAAACAAGCCAAAGCTCATGTTTTACCTTCACTGCTGCTGCTACTGCTGTCCTCACTGCTGCTTCCCTCTTCCTCCTCCTCAGAATCAGAGTAGAACTTCTCAGCTGATTTGCCAGGTTTGGATTTACCAAGCACTGGTGCTCCGGCCTCTTTCACCTGCCCCAGTCACAAATGAACAGGAAATGAGGTCATAATAATTTGAGACTTGGTAACATCACTGCACTGTGAATGAACTGTATGCTAAGGCCCTTTTATTACACAAGACATTTTAACATTATGTGAGGATTATAAAAGGGAGTCTTACCGGTTCTACTACCTCCACAATTCTCACTGATTGGTCAGGAGCGACAGCCGGCCAATCAGAAAGCTCCAGGTATCCATTGGCCTGGGAATTAAGCGTATGAGAGAGCGTGCCAAGCTGAAACCGGTCTCGATCTGAAAAAGAAAAAGAAAAAAATGACAAAAGAGGAAAACCAAGAGATAGATCAGTAACTATATGTTGATACCATCAAATATTATGCAGTGGCCAAAAACATTTAACATTTTAATATCAAAGGAAAACCCGCTAATTTGGCCATCCGCTAACACAAACATCAATTCAATGGTAAAACTTTTTAGTGAAGGTTATTCAAAAATGTAAGTATAAATAGAAAATAAATAAATGAATAAAAATAGAAAATAAATATAAAATAAAAAAATAAAACATTAAAATTTCCTGAAATGCCATTTGATTTTGCTTTCTAAACACTGGTATCATGAGATTAACCACAAATTATTATATTTTATTAACAGAAAAATTAAGTGTCAACTTAAATATTTAGCAAATATTTTCCAGATAATATGAAACACAACTTTAATATATTTTTTAATTTTTCACTTTAAATAGATTATTAATATAACAATATTAATTATAATATTTCATACTAATTATGGATGTAATCATGCATATAATTATAATTGTTATATCGTAGTAGATTAGATTATATACTGTATATATTAGATTAGATTCAATGTTATTGTCATTGTGTGTGTGTATATAATATCACAATAAAGTTGAATCTACTGTAATCTACTCCAATATGATCTAATAAATATTCAGCTGCCTTTATAGTTTCATCATAAATGTGGCATAAAAGAGTTTGAAAACAAACTTTACTGTGTTGAACAAGCAGACAGTCAAAGACTAATAAACTCAGATCTTCTAGTTTATTAACTCTGGGTATTACTGTACTTCTTTGTCATAATAAACAAAAAAGCAATAAGTGTCCGCACAGGCCTTCAGGAGATCTGCTGGGTAATTGACATTAAACTGGCAGAAATGCCACGGCATTCAGATCTGCCTGTGTGCCCTTCTCACAATACGCCGGGTACGTCCCTTAATAACCAAGGTATATGAACTCATAATAACTGCAGCTCTGCAGAATATAAACATGAGCGAAAAACGACACCGCACACAGCGCATCCAAACCACCACTAATAAAAATTACAGCAGCAGTTAAATGTCTCGCAAATGTTATAGGCTAAATTTATACCGCATTAATGAAATAAAGACTAATGGCTGTATGTTTCAGTATTCTAATTCATTTTAATCTATAGTAACCATGGGGACAATCATGAAATAATTGTATTAAAGCAAATTAGAGCCAGAAACAGCAGCACAGATTTGAAATCAGTAGATTATCAATTCGGACTATTGATGATTCGTCTTCATCGCACAGATCATATGTCACAACCTGCGTCTTCACATGACTTAAAAACACACACAAAGACGTGCCGCTTTGAGTTTCATCACAGTAAAGCATAATCAGCCCTTACGAACTTTATTACCTCCTATTAAGAGCGGGACATGCTTTACCAAGCACCGAGAATGATACTCAGCACAACAAAAATTACCCCCAGCGACAGCCGGCATCAATCACACAGAGTGCATCCTTCTTGCTAAACCCAAATCCATCCATCCGTCCATCCATGTATCTACAGGAGCAAATGAGTAACACCCTTTTCCTGCTCGTGAGTGTAATTACTCTCGTTTGATTGCAGGTGAAGTGCGTGAACGTACAGGAGATAGTAGTAAATCGACGTGTGGGTGTGTGCGGGGCGGACGGGACGCCCAGATTCGACTGTCTGTTATCAAATTACGCCAAATCCAACAATTCAATTCCGCGCAGGAGGAACAGAAGGCATAGCCTACAAATCCACACGGCTAATCCGGAGAAGAAGAAAAAAGCCCAGTTCAGAGGCGGGAAAAAATAACTGTGTGGCGTTTGATAGAATCGGTTGCAGAGTATTTCTGCGTGCTGTATTGATGTTTACGGGCTAGCGTTGCTGTCATGGCCTACGGGGATGAAGTCTCATGGCAGTGTTGTGTGTTTCAGTTCTGAAGCCCTGCTGGAATGGAATGATGTGATGAAATAAGAGAGAAGTGGGAGAAATCGATGTCAGCAGAACTCTTGAGTTCGTATAGAGGTGGTCGTGTCATTTAGAATCAGAGCGTGACGGGAAACTGACTGCTCCAGCTGTTTTATCATGCAACAAAGCTTTAAAGGTGAGCGATATAGGCTAGAGGTTACAGATCTGTGTTGGTAACTGAAAGGTTGTAGGTTCGAATCTTGCACAGAATGCTTTCAGGCATCCCTTAGCTTATGACCACTGAATTTCCATCACTTGTGAAATTATGTTTATTCATATTATATCATATGTGACCCTGGACCACAAAACCAGTCATAAGGGTAAATTTTCCAAAATTGAGATTTATACATCATCTGAAAGCTGAATGAATAAGCATAGATGTATGGTTTGTTAGAATAGGACAATATTTGGCCGAGATACAACTATTTGAAAATCTGGATTCTGAGGGTGCAAAAAATCCAAATATTGAGAAAATCGCCTTTAAAGTTGTCCAAATTAAGTTCTTAGCAATGCATATTACTAATCAAAAATTACGTTTTAATATATTTACAGTTGGAAATTTACAAAATATCTCCATGGAAGATGATATTTACTTAATATCCTAATGATTTTTGGCATAAAAGAAAAATCAATAATTTTGACCCATACAATGTATTTTTGGCTATTGCTACAAATATAGCCCAGCGACTTAAGACTGGTTTTGTGGTCCAGGGTCACATATTATAAATTATGTTCACTACAGAATTATATTTACGACTTTTCTAGACATGAGAAACTACATTTTCTTTTGCGGTTTCATTCATTTAAAAAAAATTTTTTTTTACAGAGATTGCAAATACAAAAAGTAATTTCTAGCTGATAAAATGTTTTACTACTTAACTTGCAATAAAAACAAATTATAAAAAAACTGAAACAAACTTTTATGGCTTTCCCAGGCCTGAAAAACTAAATTATTTATTTTATTTATTTTTAAATATTAATATATTTAATTATTTTTAAAAATAATTTTACAGAGACTTCAACAACAAAATGTAATTTCTCGATGATAAAATATTTGACTATTTTTTTTACTACTTAACTCCACATTTTGTTCACTACAGAAATTTTAATGACTCTAACTCTTTAACACTATTCCAGGCCTGAAAACTACATTATTTGCAGTTTCTACAGTACTTAGCTACACACAAAAAAAAGTATATTCACTATAGAAATTTACACAACACTGTATGACTTTCCCAATCTACATTATTTGCAGTTACATTTATTTTTAAAAGGCATTTTACAGCGACTGTAATTTCTAGCTGATAAAATTTTACAACAATTTTTTACTACCCAACTACAAATATTTTTTAAATATTTAATTTACCTAAATACTCCAGGCCTGAAAACCTGCATACTTTGCGGTTTCATTCATTTTTAAAATAATTTTTACAAAGACTGTAATAGCAAAAAGCTATTTCTGATCAAATATTTTACTAAAAATCTGAATACAGTACTCAACTACAAAAAAAGTACATATGTTCACTAAAGAAATACAAATGACTTGATGTGACTTTTCAAGGTTGTTACCTTTGAAGGCAGACTGCAGGACAGGAGCCGGTTTGGGTGCCATCAGGATGCGGCGAGCGTATCTGCTCAGGACTCCGCTCTTCTCGTTTGGGACAATCAGCTGACGAATGAACCGCGTTCGGTCTCTGATGTCATAGTTCTGATCGTACTTGCCCAAGTTCAAAACGTATTGAGTCAGCAGTTTAGTCTGTATGAGATAAAGTAAGAAAGGTAAAACATAGCCAAAACACCCACCCACCCACACAAAGTGTGATTTGATTTGACCTGTTTGGAATTGCTCAGGTAGAGTTTGGCAGCAAGGTTGACCGTCTGGAGTTTGACAATGTCCTCCTCGCTGGTGAAGGTCTTGGCCATCTTTCGCAGGACGTCGGGGGCGATTTTAGGCACGTGTTCACAGTATTCACCCATCAGCCACAGGATGCTGGCCCTCGCCATCGGGACCTAAAGAGGAAATGGACACGAAATACACAAAGTGTTACATTTATATGAATCAGACTGTAGTTGCACATTATAACACTACAGTTGTGTGATATTGCACTCGTGTCTCACAGTGATGTTGTCGAAGAGTTTGGCCATGTGTTTGATGATGTCACTGTGCTGTGACGGCTGAGTCTGCAGAAGTTTCTTGATGACTACGACGCTCTCAGCGACAACAGTCTCTATGAAGAGAAGAAAGACATGAATACACTGATAAGCCAATATACTATGTTTTTACTGTAGTAACCAGTGTTGAGGAGTAACTAAGCAGCAACTTAACTACATTTTTGAGGTGAGGAATTAATACACACGCTCCTATATAAAAATGTCCTCTCTTATATGCACAGTAGCTTTAGGGAGTTATTTCAAGTCAGATAAATCAGATAAATCAAGTCCTTGTGATCCATTTTGTAGTTAAATGCTGCAGTTTACCATATTTTACACTTATAAACATTTAAGAAACTATATTTTAAAAGTGTTTTCTACTTTTACCAGTTGTACACTGTATGCAATTTGTATGTTAAATATGATTTATATTCAACTATATATTTATATTTTGATTTATTTATAATTTAATGCCATATGAGCAGCAATGGCTACATTCATAGCAAAAATCAACAAATCAATCAATTATTAATTACAATATAATTTCAAAACATCGTTTACAATAATTTAACAATTTTGTCTTTAAAAAAATAACATGCAAAAATATACACATACCTAAAACAATAATAAAAATAGTAATAATAACAATTATTTAGAATATTTCAATGTAATGTATGGCAACAATTCTACAATTATTCAAGGAGAAATCCTTTTAATTGTCCATTAATATAGTTTCTGAATAAAAATGGACTTTCTATTAGAATGATTTAAATTCAAGAAATTCTTCCATAAATCACAAATCGTTTTCTCTTTTCCCCTTTCAATAAATATGAATAAGTTATATTTTGACGTTTTAAAGTTTTACACACATACATATAATTTTATATATTTTAATTATTGAGACTATGACATGCATTTGTCAGAAAGAATATTCACGTTTTCATCTCTGGAGATAATGGCTCTGTCTTTATCCTCAATTTTGTCTTTACACTGCAAAACATTGAACTTCATCATATTGCCATCTGGAGGCAACCAGAAGCACTGCTGATAACTAAGCAATAACTTCAAAAGCAAAAGGCTCCAGTGAGGTTAGTGTGTGATTACCGTCTCTGTTGGACAGCAGCAGGACCAGGCCGTTGAGGCAGGTGTCAGTTACTTCAGAGATGTTAGTGGCACAACGGCCGATGGCCTGGATGGTGGCCGCCGCAAACGCCTTATCCTGACTCTTCACGTACGTCTGGAACACACATATAGCTGCTTAAAACTGCCATTCCTCATCTGTGTTTCTAAATCTTACGAGCTGTCAACCGACAGGATTTTTAGGCATCATAAAAGTATTCAAACCTCCGCATTTCAACAGTTTTTTTCCCCTTCATAATCAATTTAATTTATTAAAATTTACCTGGAGTTCTCTCAGTATGGTGGAGATGTTTGCTTCATTAGCCAGGTTAGTCAAAATCTCCAGCTAAAGGATTTCAACAAAGGCGAAAAACATCAGAGAAGACACAAAACATCAGCAGCAGATGACGACAGTTTCAAGGCTACTGTACATTAGCACAGCACTTCAACACAAACACAAAGACTGAATGAAGGTAAGTCTATGTTTTACCTTGAGTGTTTTGATGTGCGTGGCATCTGTAGACCTCACATAGAAGCTCTTCATGAAGGGCTCAAACATTCCCTAAAAACAGCACAGCCATTACCTCAGGGCTACCTCAGATAGTAGTGTGTACTTTAGATTCTTGTTTTTAACCTTAGTGATTACCTAAAGACTTTACCTCAGATTTTAGTGTTTGCCATTTTCCCTTTTACCACACTTTTTACCTGCATACCTCAGTTTTAACATAGAAAATGTCTCAGTTTACTTCAAAATTTAGATCCACTCTACGTTCAGACTATTGCCCTTACTATTCACCTCAGATTATACTTAATTTACATCAAATTTGTATCTGATTTTCAGTCAGTGTTTCCCTCAACCAATACCCCAGATTTTACCTCAGCTTTTTCTCAGACATTACTTCAGTACATTTCAGGACTAATTTGGCTCTACCTCAAATTTTAATTGAGCATTTACTTACCTCAATGTTTTTCTTAGATATTACATCAGTTTATTTGTGGCTTCATTTAGGCCTATACGTCAAATTTTAACTCAGCATTTGCCTCAGAAGATAAAATGTATGATAAATTCAATGCATGTTAGATACTACCCTTAGTACATAATTGAAGCCAAACTCAGTGTTTACCCCATATCTTACCCTGCAATTTACTTCATATTTTACCTCATTATTTCCCTCAAAATTGAGGCCTCAGATCTCAGATCTTAACGTAAGATTTACTTAGGGGGCAGTCGTGGCCTAATGGTTAACACAACTGAGGTGAGACCCTTGAGCAAAGCACCGAACCCCCAACTGTGTGTGTTCACGGTGTGGGTGTGTGTGTGTGTGTGTTTGTGTTCACCACTCGCTACTGTGTGTGTGCACTTGGATGGGTGAAATGCAGAGCACAAATTCTGAGTATGAGACACCATACTTGGCCACACATCTATTCCTTTTCCTTTTTCCTTTTCATATTTTACCTCATGATTTCCCACAGAAATTAGGCCTACCCTTTGATTTTACCTCAGTGTTTACGCCAAATCTTACCTTATGATTACCTTTCATATTTTACCTCATGTCCTACCTATGATTTTACCTCAGATCTTATCTTGCAATTTGCTCCATATTTTACTTCATGATTTCTCACAGAATTGATCCCTACCTCTGATTTTACCTCAGTTTTTACCTCAGATCTTACATTATGATTTATTTCATATTTTACTTCATGATATCCCTCAAAATTAAGGCCCACCTCTGATTTTACCTCAGATCTTATCTTGCAATTTGCTCCATATTTTACTTCATGATTTCTCACAGAATTGATCCCTACCTCTGATTTTACCTCAGTTTTTACCTCAGATCTTACATTATGATTTATTTCATATTTTACTTCATGATATCCCTCAAAATTAAGGCCCACCTCTGATTTTACCTCAGTGTTTACCTCAAATCTAACCTTGCAATTTACATGTTTTACCTCATGACTTCCTTCAGAAATTAAGGCCTACCTCTAATATTACCTCAGCGTTTACCAAATGGACTAATACATTTAGGCCTAACTGATTCTAAATCATTAAAGGGTTAGTGTACTTTTTTGCGTAACGAAAACAAAAATAACGACTTTATTCCACATTTTCGGCTCTACTGCATCACTTTGGATGCGTGTTCACAACAGCATCATGACGCGAGCGTGTAAGAGCCCTCAGATTTCATCAAAAATATCTTAAATTGTGTTCCGAAGATGAACGAAGGTCTTATGGGTTTCAAACAACACTAGGGAGTAATTAATGACAGAATTTTCATTTTTGGGTGAACTAACCCTTTAACATTGTTCATAATATATTCGGGTTTCATGAGAAAAGCAGGATGAAAGTTTCAGCGAGTCTGTAGTACCTTCCTCTGAATGGACATGGTGGCGATGTTCTGCAACACAATGTACTGAACTTCCCTAAAAGAGCAGAGAGTGAAACCAAAAACAGGAATTAGATTGACATATTTGATCTTGATATCATCTCCATCTCATTTCTCTCATAGTGTGCATGTTACCTGTGGCTCCTAAAGAGCCTCACCAGAGACTTGGTGATGATGCTAAGTTCATGTTTAGGAGCCAAATGCCAGTAGAGCTGAGATACTGCCATCACAACCTGACAAAGAGAGATGATTAATGTTATAAATGAAGACCTATGCCTTTAAATGTTAAATGGGTACTTAAAAGGATACCAAGAAACTAAAACACAATATTATCATGCCTTTTCCATGGTATGTTTTTATACAGGGAAAGGTGAGAAAAAGACGAGTGGACATAAAAAGTAGCTCATGAAAAAAAGACAGATTAATGGAAGACGTGGTGGAGAGTCTCAGAGACATGTGAAGTGAGAGAAAGAGGAAGAGGAGGGTTTGAGGGAGGTTGAAAAAGAGATAGATGGTGATAGATTAGGAAGCCTTCAATGTATGTAATGATTTTGTCTTCCCCAAATTACTTTGACCCCAATATATGAACAGGACAGCAGACTTCAACACATCAACCGCTAGAGCAGCAGAGAGAGAGAGAGAGAGAGAGCTGATAAAGACAGAGAGCAGCCTGAGTGCAGAACAAAGCAGGACAAGTTTTAATCAAAACATATCACACACACACACACACTACAAAAAACACACATACGCACAGACCTTGAGCTTCCAGGTTGATGGAGCACTCAAGTCACTCTGTGTGTGTGATGTAGGAGGGAATAACGTTTTCTGAGCACATTTCTAAGGCTGAGTGTGTGTAACACGATGGAGTTGTGTTTGATACAGCCTTGGTCGCGCTAATATTCTGATGTACAAAAACACTCGCACTCAAACACAAAACACACACACACTCAGGTGCATCCTGAAGGCCTTCGCTGTTGCTCAGAGTTGAACAAGAACGAGCATAAGAGAGGGAGAACGAGAAAACTGGAGAGTGCAGATGTGTGAATAAATGAGAGTATGTGAGTGTCTTAAAGGAATATTACAGATTAAATATGAAATAATAAAGAAGAAAGTTTGTAACTATCAGCTGCAAATGGAGCAAACCTTATCTAGAGGAATGAAATCAGCAATGATTGGCTAAAAGTTTATCTATCTTAAAACCTTATCTATCTTGTAAGAAGCAAAAAAGGACATTACATTTTACATTTATTATTATTATTATTATCAACTAATATTGAAGTGATATGAAACATAATAATTATGATTAATATTGTTGTATAAATATTCAAAATGGCAACATGTTTATTGATTATATATGCTGCTTTAATAATATTTGCTATACTACTATTTATTAAATACATGTTTAAACTATACTAAATGCAATGACTAATATATTTGTATCATTAACAATAATAATAGCAACAATGTAAAACATTTTAAATAATAATTTAAATAATAAATAATAAATTGTAATTATTAATAAATAATAAACATTATATATTACAATATTAAGTTTACATAAATACTGAAATAATAATACAAAATTAATATAGCTGTATCAATATTTAATATGGCAGAAGTTACTTAATATAATAGTATAATTACTGTTTTTATCATGACAGCTTTGGCCCAAGAATATTCCTTTAAACTGTGTGTGTGTCTGTGTGTGTGTGTGTCTGTGTGTCTGTCTGTGTGTGTGTCTGTGTGTGTGTGTGTGTACTCACTGCAGTGTTTCTGCTCTGTAACAATGGTTTAGTGTTTCTGAGCAGGAGTCTGTGGTCTGGATCCATGATGTACGGTTTGGACTGGTCCACTCTCCTCTCCTCCTCTGAATCATAAAACGTTTTCTCACCGTTCTCGTCAAACACAGCGTCCTACAATCATACACACAATTAATGAACAAAAACATCTAAAAAAAAATCCAGAGGTCATTAAACCAACTCTAAAAATGATTAAAAGGAACACCAGCAAGCAACTTTCTCTCCTGAGACCATCACTACTGTCTACATAAAATCAGTCAGAGTTACAATATAAAGTCCTCTCAATCCCTCCTTCCTACCTGAAACCCTCAATGCTAGCATCAAAATCAGATGAGTCAAATTCAAGCAGCAATTTTGTGCTCAAATGAAACCGCTAAATTTGATCTCTGAGCTTTAAAAATATGTCAAATAATAATGAAATACTACTTGTGCTTAAACACACAGACAGTAGCTGACCTCTCTCCACGGGCTGACAAACTGTGTCCTGGCGTATCGGGTCAGCATATGTATGATGACCACCTGACCCCACTCCTCCACGTCCACCAGCAGGTTACACAGCTTGCGATAGTTCTTATGGATCAGGTCGATCCGGTCCGGACAGACCTCCTCAAACGCCATTACCACGCTGCCAGCAACCAGCTACAAAAAACACACGATAAACAGCATGGTTTACAACTTAGCCACCTGTTAGAAGACTTTCATATACAGTAGTCAACATCTGAAGTGGATCAAAAAAGTTCAAAGTTGTCCTAAGACAAGAACGCATTTTGGTTTTAGGTTTTAGGGATGCACCGATACCACTTTTTCCAGTACTCGCCCGATACCGATACTTTTATTTTTGGTACTTGTTGTTTGAATATGGCGCTTATCACATGCTGTGTGGTATCAGCGTTTGGTATCGGGGCATTTTAACGAGTACGAGTACAGGAGCTCAGTATCGGGCCCGATACCGATACCAGTATCGGTGCATCCCTAGTTTTAGGTTTTAGGACAACTCTGATGAAAGGTTTTGATCCACTTCAAATGTTTTTTTCACTACTTGGTACAATAGTAAAGCAAAGTTTAGAATTCTTGATTTTGATTGCTTGTCACACATTCCGGGGTGTCAATCAAATAACTCTGAACCAATATTATATATATATATATATATATGAATATATTGATATTATGATTTATAAAAACAAATGATAAATGAAAATATAATAATAATAAATATGGTAATTTGCAATAATTGCCTCTGGGCTACTGGATTATTCTGGACTAATTACATTTTTAAAAAATTAATGTAATTTGGAATTATTTTTCAATAATTCAATAGTTCTGGTGTCAAAACAATAAATTACAATTTGCACAGGATCAGATATTTTGAATTTCTACAAATTATAATAATTTATGAGACATGAAACATTCAAAAAACTTTCAAGGAACAATTAACAACTAACCACATCTACATCCACCAAAAAACCCAAACTACCCATAAACATTTGTTCACCTGAACGACAAATCAACAGACCAGTGATTCAAACAATCTATTAGAAATCATTAGGGAAATATTATATTTAAATTACATTGATAAACACATATAAACAGCGTATACACAAGCACAAAAATTAAAAACTAAAGAAAAGCGAAAACAAGAAAGCAAGAACTGAGTGGTTAGTTAGTGCATATATTACGTGTGTGTGTGTGTGTATATATATTTAACATTAGTTTTATGCTTTATGCTTTTGTCACATTAGTTTTATGCTCATGTGGAAAGTGTTGGTTTGAATATTGGGTAGTATTGTATTGAAATACCACCTAACTGCACTTCTGTATAAATGTATATTACATTTGCACACATGAAAAGAAGAAAAAGCATCTGTACACATTTACTCTTACACGGTGTCTGAAGTTATAAAACTGTGCAGACACACACAAACACATGCTGCACACACACACACACCAAAGCTTCTGTGCAATTATCACTCACCCGCTTCTCCTGCAGCAACTCTAAAGTTGTGCTGGAGGTTTATAATTGCAAATTAAGCTGATTAGGTTATATATGCGTCGTAATTACAAACCTCAGTGTGGTCTCAAAACAAACAGATGCTGATTTATAAAAATAATGATAAATATAAAAATATAACAATAATAAATATGGTATCAGTGAAATAAATGATTCTGGGCTATTGAGTTATTCTGGACTAATTAAATTAAATTTTCAATAATTCAATAGTTCAGGTAAGAAAAAATAATCCCAATTTGCACAATATCAGACATTTTGAGTTTTTAGACATGATGATAATTTATAAGAGAATTAAACGTTTATGCAATGTTCAAGCAACAATTAACAATGATCCACATAAAAACCCAAACTACCAATAAATATTTGTGCACCTGAATGACAAACCAACAGACCAGTGATTCAAACAATCCATTAGAGATCATTAGAGAAACATTATGTTTAAATTATATTGATTTACCTGAGATAAACACAAATAACAGTGTATAAACAAACACAAAAATTAAAAACCAAAGAAAAGCAAAACCAAGAAAGCAAGAATGTAACATTTAAATCTGAGTGGTTAGTGCATGTGCATACATACATATATATATATATATATATATACATATACACACACACACACATATTAGTTTTATGCTTCGGTACTCATGTGGAAAGTGTCGGTTTGAATATTGGCTGGTATTGTATTATAATTCTACCTAACTGAACCTCGCTATAAATATATATTACATTTGCACAAACATGAAAAGAAGAACAAAAGCATCTGTACACATTCACTATTACACTGTGTCTAAAGTTATAAAACTGTGCAGACACACACAAACACATGCTGCACACACACACACACCAAAGCTTCTGTGCAATTATCACTCACCCGCTTCTCCTGCAGCAACTCTAAAGTTGTGCTGGAGGTTTATAATTGCAAATTAAGCTGATTAGGTTATATATGCGTCGTAATTACAAACCTCAGTGTGGTCTCAAAACAAACAGATGCTTGGAAGATGACAACCTGTTCTGCTTCCCACCAAGCTAATATAACCCACCACTCTCACTCTAGACTAATGAACTACAGTATATGAGAGAGAGTGTGTGAAAACAACATGCACACAGAGAGTTTGAGCAGGTCAGGTGCTTCATTCATCATCATGTGACGTCAGTTCCAGCTCGGAGGAACGAAATGACATGTAACTGATCACTTAAACCTTTACAGAAAGGGTAAAGGTTTAAAAAAGAAAAGGTTTCAAAATTATCCTTTTGCCACAACGGCCAGTGGCAGGTGAATTGAGAAAATTAGCAGCCATAAATATTACGCAACAGCCATGAATTAACTCTTTCCCCACCAAACACGAAATTTTCCGGGTTTCTGTGTTTTCACGGTTATACACTCGGGGGTGCTATTACACATCTCCTGAACGAGTCTAGAATGCCCCGATCAAAAACACAAGCGAGGAAGACGCAGAAATGAGCGATCTCATATGTAAGCATATATCAAATAATGCGATCATCGACAATAAACAGCATATAAATGAAAACTGCCTAATGTTACCGAGTGAAATGTCGATCCAGAAAGTGGTAAAGGACTGTGGGAGAGCCTTAAGTGAAGCCATCTACTGCATATTTACTTTGATAATATTACTGAATATGATCCAGATGTAGTATTTGATAAATAATGCGATTTTCTCAGCTTTTTGCACAAAATGTTGCTTTTTTGTGATACTTTCCTACATTCAAGTGTTGATAAAAAAAAAGAATGCTTGAAGCTAGAATAAAACTTTTTTTAACTGTTTAAAAGTAGAGGCGTTGTTCTTTATTTTGATGCATTGCATGTTCAGATATTCATACAATGTAATATTCTGGGGGCCATGAAATTTGAGTGAAAAACATCAAAAATGCTGGCGGTGGCTGGCAACTTTTTTCAAAAATGCTGGCAGGGAAAGAGTTAATATTTTGCAACATTTAGGCTATTATTTACAACACCAAAGGTGATAGTTTGGCTTGTTGAGCTATTCTGATAAGCAATTTCAAATATATAAAAAAATAAGAAATTAGTTTATTACATTTTACATATATGTTAAATATTGCAAACATATCTAAATTATATACATTTAATTCTGATAAACAATTTACAAATAAATTAATTCATAATGTTTATATCAATTTATTTTATATAACAAATACAATAATATCATATACCTATCTAACAAAATCTCAAATTTATATACATTTTTCTTGTTATTTGTAATTTATTTTAATTTTTGATTCTTGTTCCCATTACTATAAAATTTGAATATATGAATATAAAAGTTTTCTGATAAAAAATTTAATTTTATAAATATTTATATATTGTATTATATGTTGAATTTAATTTCAAATATTACTTGTTTTATATACATACATTTATATCAATTTGATATAAAATCTTAATCTAACTGATATACTTTCTTCTTATTTTATATTTTATGTAATTCTTGTTCCCATAACTATAAAATGTTAATACATATTAACTGCGTACTATCAATATGGTACACAACAATCCCATTCAAGTCAATATGATAAACAAGTTAGGTCAAAAGTAATCTAAAAGTAGTCAGACTACATTACCAAATATGTGTAAATCCAAATTATGTATAAAAGTTTATGGAAAATGCATTTAACAATCTTGATTTCTTTCGTTTACTCTATCTTTCTATTTCCCGCTCATCTTTAGCTAGCGTCTCCCCATCTTTCCGTTCCCATATTACCCAACAGGAGCTCCAAGGTAAACTCCATCCAAGGCAAAGCTCTTACTTACACACACCTCATCAACAAAGCTCTGCTATCTCTGCTGCTTGACAAGACCTTAATGGAAAAATCACACTAAGCAAATGGTTCCTCTAATAACAATAAATTTCCTGTAAAATTATGAAGGGTACAGGACGTTTCCCTGGATCCATTTTGTCATGAATTCTAATTAAGGCCGGGCCGCACTGACGGGAGAGGAACCAGGGAATGCTGGGTCATCAGCGAGCGAGGAGAGATGCTGGAGCGCCGCGGCTGTGATTGATGCTGTGCTTGCCGGTCAGACTGAAGACACACACACACGCTCATATTTCATCAACACATCCCCTGGGGCTTCCTTCAGCAGCGTACAGGGGAAGCTCGTAGAGATGTCTATTATGTCACAATAAACATTTCCAGCGCATATTCGGGAAGCTCTACAGATGAAATACTGCTCTGCGCTAAAAGCCTATGAGGACGGCACTAAAAAAACATGACAACGTGAGCTGAAACCCCTCACGCATAACTCAGATTTGAGGCCGGCAGGAAAGTTTTAAGATAATGTGTTGCTAAGACTTTTTCCAAGGCCCTGGCGGGAATGTGTTGAGTTCAGAAAGTGTTTATTTTACTTCCAGAAGTGTTTTAGGTAGAGAGAGGAATAGTGATAGAGCTGGGAAGTCAGACAGAAATGAATGTGGTGTTGTTTCGCCATCTGGTGGCTGTATGCTGTAAATTAACCTTTAGTCATTACATTTTGCAGAAGCTTTTATCCAAACCTACTTACAATTGGGGAATACATAAAGCGATTCTTCTTAAAGAGGCAAACAGACACAGGAAGTGCTTGTAATACCAAGTTTTAGGCATTGTTCAAATAAGTACAAGCTAGAAAGGGAAGGAATAAATAAAGAGAAAGCTCGTTTGTATATTTATAAGGCATACTGTGCCAAAACAGCTTTTTTAGAATATAGCTGGTCAGATTGTAAATCCAGTCAATTTCACTCTGATAAAAGCTAAAGAAAAATTTTTCAATATTGTACAGGCAGATACAAAAAAAAAAAAATCAAAAATCAAAAAATCAAATGTTTTAATCCCATGTATTTATTATTTTCATTTCCCACCTGTGTGAAAGCAGAATTAAATGATTTTATTTGTCATTTAATTTAGTCTTAATTTAATTTAATACTTTTCTTGTATTACCTTTATTTTACTTTATTACTTTTATTTTAATTTACATAATTGGTTCCTTGTGGGAACAGTTTTTTTTTTTTTTTACATTTAATTTTATTTGAGTTAAAGTTTAATTTTATTTCTAGTAAAAACTTTTTTTTATGGTTTTAGTTAACTATAATAACCCTGTTCCAAACAAACTTAAAAATACAAAAATAACAGAAAAAAATATATAAATAAATATATATTTTTAATTATTAATTAAAAAAAAATTTTTAGAATAACATTTTTCAAGTTTACACAATTCAGTGCAACATTTGCTAACAAAGCCTTAAAGAAAAACAATTTCATAAAGTAAACATGCATTTTGTTTCTAATTTCAATGTAAAACAGACTATTTAATCCTATTAAATCTTAGTAATTTGTTTTACATTTTCATCACTAATAAAATTTTGATGATAGTTTAATAATAGTAATAGACATAAAATGAAAAAACTGGCTGTGTGTGTGTGTGTGTGTGTGTGTGTGTGTGGAGATTTTACCGTGCTTTTGTCTTTCAGAAGTTTCTCAATCACTTCGATCAGATGCTCTTTCTGATCTGGGTCCAGACTGGAAGACAAAAGCAGAGACCTCTGTAAATCACTCGTTCGTTAACATTCAGTGAGCACATCTGTGTGAATGCGTGTATTACCTGTAGAGTTTCTGAATGGCGTGAGCGGCGGTTTTCCGCACATAAGGTGAAAGGTCGGTGGATGCTTCTTTGATGGCCAGCATCATGATGGGAACGATGATGGGAACTCTGATGCTGGACAGGACCCTGAGAGCGCTCGCTCTGATCAGCTGATTGGGATCCTACACACACCAATGATGAAGACATGTGTTAAGTTAGGGCTGATCTAAAATACAGGCAAAACTTTCATTCTATGCACAAAGGGGCTGAGCTTAATGGGAGGAGACTAGTGCTGCGTTATTTGTGGAAAAATCTCATTGCATTTTTTCTGAAAAAACGTATTTGCTGTGCTTGTTTGTAGGGCAGCACATTTTGGTCAAAATTTTCAGAATATATATTAATATGGCTATAAAATAATAATAATAATAGCATTAATTACAACATTTTATTATTTTTATTACTAACTAAAAATAAAATAAAAATAGAACAATAAATAACACTATTAATGCTATTTTATATATTACTAAAATCCTTTACAAATAAATGCTATACTATATATTATATTACTAAAATTTAAAAAAATCAAGCATTTAAGAAAAATAAGATAATAATAATTTTATTTTACATTACAACCATAAATTACAGAACTAATATTTATGACTGCCTTTATTTCTTCACTTTCACATGTTAAACCGTCAAACTTTTATTCTGATGGAAAACCACCATTTATTTTTATTTAATTAAATCGCAGCCTTTGCGATATGATAAGCATTAAATATTACTAAAACAGTATACTGCATTATATTCAAATACTATATATTACTTAAAACAAAAAATATGTATTTAAGAAAAATAAAAATGATAATTTTATTTTACATCACAACTATAAAATTACAAAACGAATATTCAGAAGGGTCTTAAGTTCTTCATTTTTCACACATTAAACCATCACACTTTTATTTTGACGGAAAACTGCAGTATATTTATTTAATTCGAAATAAGAAATATTGCTATTTCTACTACACTAGATATTATACACAAACACTATACTATATATTACATTACCAAAATAAAAAAAATAATGTAATAATGTTATTTTATATTACAACTATAAAATTACACCACTTTAAACTTTACAATAACCTTACAGAATACTGCAGTATATTTATTTCATTAAATTGCAGCCTTTGCGTTTTGATAATCGCTCAAAGCCATATCATAATTTCAGTTTTATTCTGATTAAAGAGTAAAGAGAGCATCATGGGAGAGGAAAGGGGCGGGACTTACCTTGAGTGCCCGCTGAAAGGTGCTGATTGACAGGAGGGCGAGATCCTGCTGTTCCTCTGCGTACCGGACGAGGTACACATACACCAGCTTCTTCAGCTAAAACACACACACACACACATTAAAAACAGTCCAGTTCTTCATTACTGTTCTGGGTTCATTTGCTTCTGTTTGTTTTACAGTTTCCTACAGAAACACATCAGGAAAGAAACACAGAAAGCTTTAAGTAGCACACAAACAAGAATCATCCAATCCCTGCTTTAACAAACTCATTTTCCATCTGAATAACTCCAAGTCTATCATGAAACTGTCTGATCAGCTTGTGCTCAAAGGTGAAGGGTCAAAGGTTGGCTCTCCGTATAATTGCGTCCAGCTCTCGGGGTGATGAGAGGTCATTAGCGATCAGGGAGTCATGACGACGCATTCCATCATCATCACCACGGCGATTACCGGCCAAATGGAAAAACATCACTCACTTCATAAAGATAGACATTACCCATCTGCCCCTCTGGTTAATCACATTTACATACCTAGTAAAAACTTTTTTTTATGGTTTTAGTTAACTATAATAACCCTGTTCCAAACAAACTTAAAAATACAAAAATAACAGAAAAAAATATATAAATAAATATATATTTTTAATTATTAATTAAAAAAAAATTTTTAGAATAACATTTTTCAAGTTTACACAATTCAGTGCAACATTTGCTAACAAAGCCTTAAAGAAAAACAATTTCATAAAGTAAACATGCATTTTGTTTCTAATTTCAATGTAAAACAGACTATTTAATCCTATTAAATCTTAGTAATTTGTTTTACATTTTCATCACTAATAAAATTTTGATGATAGTTTAATAATAGTAATAGACATAAAATGAAAAAACTGGCTGTGTGTGTGTGTGTGTGTGTGTGTGTGTGTGGAGATTTTACCGTGCTTTTGTCTTTCAGAAGTTTCTCAATCACTTCGATCAGATGCTCTTTCTGATCTGGGTCCAGACTGGAAGATAAAAGCAGAGACCTCTGTAAATCACTCGTTCGTTAACATTCAGTGAGCACATCTGTGTGAATGCGTGTATTACCTGTAGAGTTTCTGAATGGCGTGAGCGGCGGTTTTCCGCACATAAGGTGAAAGGTCGGTGGATGCTTCTTTGATGGCCAGCATCATGATGGGAACGATGATGGGAACTCTGATGCTGGACAGGACCCTGAGAGCGCTCGCTCTGATCAGCTGATTGGGATCCTACACACACCAATGATGAAGACATGTGTTAAGTTAGGGCTGATCTAAAATACAGGCAAAACTTTCATTCTATGCACAAAGGGGCTGAGCTTAATGGGAGGAGACTAGTGCTGCGTTATTTGTGGAAAAATCTCATTGCATTTTTTCTGAAAAAACGTATTTGCTGTGCTTGTTTGTAGGGCAGCACATTTTGGTCAAAATTTTCAGAATATATATTAATATGGCTATAAAATAATAATAATAATAGCATTAATTACAACATTTTATTATTTTTATTACTAACTAAAAATAAAATAAAAATAGAACAATAAATAACACTATTAATGCTATTTTATATATTACTAAAATCCTTTACAAATAAATGCTATACTATATATTATATTACTAAAATTTAAAAAAATCAAGCATTTAAGAAAAATAAGATAATAATAATTTTATTTTACATTACAACCATAAATTACAGAACTAATATTTATGACTGCCTTTATTTCTTCACTTTCACATGTTAAACCGTCAAACTTTTATTCTGATGGAAAACCACCATTTATTTTTATTTAATTAAATCGCAGCCTTTGCGATATGATAAGCATTAAATATTACTAAAACAGTATACTGCATTATATTCAAATACTATATATTACTTAAAACAAAAAATATGTATTTAAGAAAAATAAAAATGATAATTTTATTTTACATCACAACTATAAAATTACAAAACGAATATTCAGAAGGGTCTTAAGTTCTTCATTTTTCACACATTAAACCATCACACTTTTATTTTGACGGAAAACTGCAGTATATTTATTTAATTCGAAATAAGAAATATTGCTATTTCTACTACACTAGATATTATACACAAACACTATACTATATATTACATTACCAAAATAAAAAAAATAATGTAATAATGTTATTTTATATTACAACTATAAAATTACACCACTTTAAACTTTACAATAACCTTACAGAATACTGCAGTATATTTATTTCATTAAATTGCATTTTGATAATCGTGATAATCGCTCAAAGCCATATCATAATTTCAGTTTTATTCTGATTAAAGAGTAAAGAGAGAGAGGAAAGAGAGGAAAGGGGCGGGACTTACCTTGAGTGCCCGCTGAAAGGTGCTGATTGACAGGAGGGCGAGATCCTGCTGTTCCTCTGCGTACCGGACGAGGTACACATACACCAGCTTCTTCAGCTAAAACACACACACATACACATTAAAAACAGTCCAGTTCTTCATTACTGTTCTGGGTTCATTTGCTTCTGTTTGTTTTACAGTTTCCTACAGAAACACATCAGGAAAGAAACACAGAAAGCTTTAAGTAGCACACAAACAAGAATCATCCAATCCCTGCTTTAACAAACTCATTTTCCATCTGAATAACTCCAAGTCTATCATGAAACTGTCTGATCAGCTTGTGCTCAAAGGTGAAGGGTCAAAGGTTGGCTCTCCGTATAATTGCGTCCAGCTCTCGGGGTGATGAGAGGTCATTAGCGATCAGGGAGTCATGACGACGCATTCCATCATCATCACCACGGCGATTACCGGCCAAATGGAAAAACATCACTCACTTCATAAAGATAGACATTACCCATCTGCCCCTCTGGTTAATCACATTTACATACAGCGGCCTGCTGATCAGGGATTGGAGCAGCCGTGCGCATGTTAATTAGACAGCGACTAAATGAACCGCTGGCATTTATGAAGCAGAATTATAGGAGGAACAGAAAAACAAACCCGATGGACAGAGAGATTGTTTTTTCATGTAAGATTGTTGTTATCGGGTCATTTATAATAGGGACGCAAGAAACCTGAAAACAAGCTATTGTGCTTTAAAAAGTACATTCTGTGGATTAAACCAGAATTTTAAACCGAAACCACAAAAGGATCCACCAGGTTGCTGCTAAGGGTGGCCCAACCATTTATTAGGTTTAGGGGGCAAACACTTTTTTCACACAGGGCCATGTAGTTTTGGGTTTTGTTTTCCCTTAATAATAAAAACCTTCATTTAAAAACTGTTCGTTCTGTTCACTTGTGTTATCTTTTACTAATATTTAAATTTGTTTGATGATCTGAAACATTAAAGTGTGACAAACATGCAAAAAAATAAGAAATCAGGAAGGGGGCCAACACTTTTTCACACCACTGTATATATATATATATATATATGTAAAATAAAAGCAAATTAAATTACAAGTAAATTAAAATTGAGTAAAATAAACTACAGTAAATAATAAAATAAAATAAAAGACATTTCATTATTACTAGTGAGAAATAAAAAAAAAAAAGATATGGGATTAAAATAAATTGCAATTAACGTATTGACAGATGATATACAAAAAAAGACCTCAAACTAATAGCAAGAAATATATAGTAATATTTTCCAAACTATATTTTATAAATATTTATAATATTATTTAGTAAACTAAAAGTGAAACCATTATAAAATAATAATAAAAAAAACTTGAAGTAAATGTTAAATTAAATTAAATATTAAAAAGAAAATGTAAACTTATTTTAAGGTAGTGGTCAACATTTTCATTTAGTTTAACTTGATGTACTTAAATACCTAAAAAAATAAACTGAAATAAAAATAAATCAATCAATAAAAACAATATATACGTTTTCAATAAATAAAAAATTACAGTTGTGGGGGTCGGTGACATCAAAGTTTACAATTTTACTGCATAATGTAAAAAGAAAAAATAGCAAAATTATTTTAAAAAGTAAACAAAGTAATTAATAAAAATATAAAATAATAATAATATCATCAAAATAATTTTTACCATTTAATAAACACATTTTATTGAAAATCATGCTGTTCACAGAAATCTCCAGTTCATTCCTACAGGACGTTATGTAAAGCTTGTCCAAGTTAGTAACAGTAACCAAGGAGGGGAGGAGTTTAGTGAAGGGTCAAATACATGAGTGTTTGAGTGTGTATGAGTGAGTGAGTGAGTGAGTGTAACCCTGCAGTGAGTGGATCAATGGTCACACCTGTGGTCTCGTGTATGTGTGTGTGTGTGTGTGGATCAATGCCAGCGTCCCCGCGTCTCTTGAGCTCCAGAGAGCGACAGCGTTCTACAGCTGCCCAGCGCTGAACATCAGACGTGGGGGGAGACAGAGAGAGCGTGACTGGGCCCCTGGACCACCAATTACACACCGGCCCCTCAAAACAGCAGCCGTCTTCTTCAGCCAGGACGTTTTTCCCAACCACCTCTCATGTCTTTCCATCCTCCTGTCCAGACAATCTTCCTTCCATCTAAACATTCATTCTTCATCAACAAGGGCTTCCCTGTGAGATGCCCGATCAAAAATAACCCCCATCTACAGGGGTCCACACTTGTGTTCAGCAGTCGATTTTCACTCTCAAGTCAAAGCAAAAAGCGCAGTGAGGAAAACTGATTCGAGCATGTTTTGGTAGGTTTGATATATTTTCTTACCTCAATGTTTTTGCTTGCAACATTCTTCACCACCGCTGGGAAAAGTTCAGATGCATTCTTTCCCTTGGCAATCAACTAGATAGAGAGAGAAATAAACATATGACGAGACAGAATGAAGCAACACACTGATGCTGAGTGATGAATGCAGTCATAAAATCAGAGACTGGATCTTAAAGGGATAGTTCAGCCAAAAATGAATATTCTGTCATCAGGTTACTCACCCTCCAAACCTGTGTGAGCTTCCTTCTCCAGATGAACATTAAAAAAGATATTTTTGAAGAATGCTGGTAACCAAACAGTTGCTGGTTCACTTTGACTTCCATAGTATGGAAAAATACTATGGAAGTCAATGGGGACCAGTTTGCTTACCCACATTCTTCATTTTTTGGGTGAACTATCCCTTTAATACCAGATCTCTATCTGTCAGTATGACTTACCCCCACAATCCTCTTCATTGCCTCCAGCTTCAGAGACTCTTTGTTGCTTTCCAGCATCTCCTTCAGATCTTCATTCCTGCAGAGAAAACAATGATTCAGCATTTCAGTAATTCATATTTAAACACAGTGAAAGAAGGATTTGATTCATTCACCTTCATGTACCCTTATGAAAATGCACCATGCTAACCATATAGTTTTAGTTATAAAGTGAAAGTAGGGCTGTCAATTCACTCAAATCATTGTCAGTGATTTACCATTATTCAACAGCTTCAGTTCTTTTATTGTAAATGAAATAAAAATAAAAAATAATATCTGAATGGTGACGCGGTGGGCAAGTGACGTAACCGGTGTTGTGGCTTAACACTTTCACCGTCAGCACCGTCTATCACGGCAAGCCTAGGTCAGTTGTCCGAAGAAGCTTTTCACTTTTGGTTCTCCATTAGAGAACGATGAAGCCTCAGGTATCGATTGGTTTGAGAGAAAACCAACCTCAGAAGATCCAGAGCTTGCAAGCTGCGTCCCTTTGAGCACCAGTTGCGACTTGTAGCCAATAAAGGAAGTGGATAAAATGGAAAGGAAGTCCATTTAGGTCAAAACAGCACCATCTAAACCAGGGGTGCCCAACCCTGTTCCTGGAGATCTACCTTCCTGCAGAGTTCAGCTCCAACCCTGATCAAACACAACTGAACCAACTCATTAGGATCTCAAGG